ATCTGACAGCGCAAAATGCTGTAAATTACAGCACTTTGTGCGCTGTTTATGTTCAATTTTTAAACGTGCGATGCTTTCACATGTTCTTTGCATTATTTTGCACTCTTCCACAAGAAACAACGTTGCAGATTGAAACTGGACGACAGCGTGACCCAAAAGAAAGCTGGAGGGAGGAGACGCACAGAAGCTTTTACCCACACACACAGGGGCTTTTACACAGAGAAGTCTTTACACAAAGGAGCTTTTTACATACAGAAGGTTTTACACAGAGAAGTCTTTACTCTAAGGTGCTTTTGCAGACAAACGTCTAGGAGCTTTAACTCACAGAAGTTTTTACACGAAGAAGTCTTTACACAGAGGGCTTTTTACACACAGACGCGTTTGCACACAGAAGCTTTTACACAGAGAAGCCTTTACACAGAGGAGCGTTTACACACCAAAGCGTTTACACACAGCAAGCTTTTACACACGCAGGGGCTTTTACACATTTACACAGAGTAGCTTTTTACACACAGAAGGTTTTACACAGAGAAGTCTTTCCTCTGAGGAGCTTTTTCACACAAACGTCTTGGAGCTTTTACACACAAAAGCTGTTACACAAAGAAGTCTTTACACAGAGAGCTTTAACACACAGACGCGTTTACACACAGAAACTTTTACACAGAGAAGTAGCCTTTACACAGAGAGTTTTTATACACGGAAGCTTTTACACACAGAGAAATCTTTACAAAGACGTGCTTTCACACAGAGAAGCTTTTACACAAAAAAGTCTTTACACAAAGTGGTTTTTACACACAGAAACTCTTACACACAAAAGCTTTTACACAGAGAAGTCTTTGCACAGAGGCGCCTTTACACGAAGTAACAAGTTGAAATCGGCAGCAGTTCTTTAGGAAAAACCCTTCGCAGGAGCTTTCGGGAACTCACTTGCTCCCCAAAAAATCGTCTATTCCAACAAATACGTTCCAAAAAACCTAAGGAATATATTTCTGAAGCAGGTCCTCATTCAGTAACTTTCACGCCCACACTGCGATGAAATGGAGGGCCGAGTGGTCCGGCGGAGCCGACGAGGGGCGTCAGCCCAAAAATATACCATATTATGGTTTACCGGTTTACCACATAATATGATATGGATAAACTATATGGTTTACAAGGCGAATTCTCTCCACAACTCTTCTTTCTTCATCCTTATCTCCGTCGCTACTGATCCCAGACCCAGCTGCGTCCAAGCTGCAAGAGCGAAAGCTGGAGATCGTCCACATCCATGGCCTATCGGCGTTTAGGTCTGCATGGATCTTCACAGCCCAGAGCTGCTGACTGTTCCTGTGAGAATGTGAAGATCCCTGACCTATCCTTGGACCAAGTGGTGAACTGAAAACAAAAGTACGCAACAACATCACGAATTTGCGTCCAATATCATCCAGTATCCCTAAGATCCCTAAGTCTGTTTCGCATCAACCCGGTGATATCCTTCTTATGTACAGTAAGTCAGTGTCCTTTGCAGCCATCGCTGCACGAGCTTGTTGTGCAATCGAGACACAAGAAGCTGCGGGCCACGGTAGCCTTTAAGCCCAGGCGCACATTCGGCCTGCAAGTAGACAGAGGGAGTGTGTCGCCTGTGTGGCTAATACCAATGGAATTTGGGGAAGAACAGCGCAGTGAACATGATTTTATTTGGTTGATTCCTGCACGTACTAAAAGATCATCACCAAGCTATGGTCCATGCCATATGGTGTCAATAAATTGGAACCTACCAGGCTGAACCCAAGGTGTCTCACCTCACCAACAGACCAAAGCGTCGGGCAATATATATCGACTCAACGCTTGCATCATGGTCACCCCAAGAATGGAATCCCCAAAAAAATCATGACCCGCGCATACTGCTTGTTTTTTTTACCCCAGTAAGTGGGTTACAACTTATAACCCTAATAGATACCCTAATGCTAAGTGGACCAACCCTTCTTCCCCTGATTATAGCTGGGGTTATAACATGTTATAACCCACTTCCCAACTGGAGTGAACGACACATGGTGCCAATGTTTTAAACTGCCACAACGGATACCGCACCTGGACCAGCTGGAGCTGCGGATGCGCAACAGGAATCCCTAGTCTTGGCCGCTTCCCGGAAGATCGCAACGGGGGCGGGGGTGAAGGTGAGGCTCTTACCTGCTGAGTTGGCTGCTTGGTGACAGCGGCTTGTTGGGGATTACACTGTAGAAACTTGGCACCCTTGGCATAGAAACTTGGTCGGTCCATGTCGGTACGGTTGACGACTGAGCCAAGAATCACAACGGTCAATTCAGAATTGCAAGCTGCATGGGTCACCATGCTGCCAAGAATCTGAAAATCAAAAAAATGCAAAATTTCTCTGTAAACACTACCCTACAAATGGTACTCTTGCACTCTTGCCGGCCGCACATCTGCATTGTCTAAACATGCCTAAACCTCCTATTAGGAAAAATAGTCATCAGGAATTCAGGAATCAGTAAAAAAAATCATCGGGAGCTTTCACCGCTGCTCAATTCAGCCTCTCATGTTGGTCGTGTCAGGTGACAACCCTGGCGATCATACAGTGTATCCCCGTTCACCAGTTTCGATTCCTGGAACGATCAGCAAAAGTAAACCAACAATTGTTATTCCAATGATTAACCATAGATAAACCAACCATATTCCTGGTGGATCAAACAAATCTGCCAGCAACCACTTTTTCCCGTCGCCACTGAGTCACTGCGCTGAAGATATGGCCATACCTGCCATGATGGCCGTGGTCAACAGATCTTGAACACGATGAAAAGTTCTGTCAGAAAACTCGTTCAAATGTTGTCAACATCCTTCAAGGCAAGGCATTACTCTTTTCAAGAAAGAGTATCCCTACAAAATATAAAACAATCCTCTAAACATGCAGCATTCCTTTCTGTAGAAGTGTGGTATTTTTTCCTTTTTCCATTGGGTTTTGGAAATGTTGGGCAGAAGTTGCAAAAACTTCGAAAAAACCTATCAATTTCTTCAATGTTGTCTGCACATTGCCCTTCTGTTTTGGCATCCAATTCACTATACAAAACCAAAAAAAACATGTCAATGGAGGTCCATGATTGCTTGAGACATAGGGTTGTTTTTTGTTTTTTTTCGTGTTTTAAGTTTTGTGTTTATTATTTTCCCTTGGATGCCAAAGCAGAAAAGCAAAGTGCAGACAGCATTCAAGAAATCGATTGTGTTTAATGGTTTTGTCAATGAAGAATATATATATATATAAATCATATGGTTTGTGACCAGGAAAAATGATGTTTTTAAACTAAGTCATATGCAGAAAAATTGCAACTCCCACAGTCCCCTGTTCTGAATAATAAACACGTCAGGGGGTATTTAATATTAGGGTGCGAAACTTCCCCCTAATCTAAATAAAAAAAACGTAATATATGTTTTTTCTATTGCAAACAACAAGCCAAGAAACCCGCAACGCCAAGCCAACAGTAAATCCATAACTCATCAGCAATCCAGACATATTCCGTCCCATGGCCGCCGCGGACTGCGGAAAGGTCACCTTGCGATCCACCGGCGATCCACCGGCGAAGAACTGGCCAAAAATCGCAGGGGTCGCAGGCACAGCAAACATGAGGGGCACAAGGTTTATAGCACAAAGGCAACTTTACATGAATTGAGCACCAAAAAAATGGATTCAACCATCCAAAATAAGTATAGTTTAACATAGTTCAACCAGTGAATGATACAAAATATCTCAAAGCTGAAAAAAAAAATAAAAAGCAGGAGACCGATGGAAGGACTGGAAATTTGTACCCCGCTGTACCTCGTCTGGCATCCTGCGGCATTGGAAAAGATATTCCAAGTTGCTTGGCACCCCATCTGAAGTGGAATCAAAGTTTAAACACCCAAACTGCAACAATCTGTAACAAGGAAAATCTCAGTTTCAAAAGCTCAAAAATATCCCGATCTGAAAATTCTGGGTATTTTTAGTAGGTGCTTTTAGCCACAAGAACCTCCATCAGGTGACTACTGCAGGCCTCAAGCCCACTTTTGGCTATAGAAACGCAACATGGGGTGAACTCGGTTCCCCAGGAGTACCCAGCAATCGAGATTAGCAATGTGGCATGCAGCAATGGTCTTTCGGGAAAGTCTTTGATCAAAAACCTGAGCGAGAAATTTTGATGTCACTGGGAAAAAATGATTCTAAGCCAACATCATGTCCACTCCGAAATGCTCTAGCCGATGACTTTCCTTTGCTAGCTGGCGCTTTGACCCGCTTTTAAAAATGGACACATATGTTGGATGGGTTTGTTGAGTTTGTCCGACTCGAATCAACTGCGATTACTCTGAACATCTCTGAATGGATGCTGCCCCCATCCAGTCCTTTCTCACCACCTGCGTAATCCTGCGTACACATCAGCATCTGTTGCACGCACGATTGCCAAAGTTTCTCAGGCAAACTCTCAAAGACAGATTCTACGTATCTGCACCAGCACCCGAGTTTCAAAATAGGCGACTAAGTCCTGAAACCATCCAAACTCCTCATGCTGGCGCCCGGCCTCGGTTGTCATCCACCGAAATGCATCAAAGCATCAGACTTCAGGTCTGTAACGAAACTCGGCACCAGCAACTGCAACAAATACCTCCACCGTGAACACCTGAGACATCCAAAATATTGGTGAAAAAGGCATGACATCTTAGTTGGATTTTCCACGTCCGAGGCACAAGTGGTCCAGCAAATTCCAGCAATACGTTGAGAGAACAAGGTACAACAACCATCAGATGCACAATCAGAGTAGCCACACGACCACATCTTGGAAAGAATAGCATCCAGGCACCATTTTTCCGTCAAGGACTGGAAACTGCAAGATGGTTAAAAATGACATGAAGGACAAATGTCTACACACTAAAGCATCATCTCTGAATTAGATCCATGAAGTCCATCGACTTCATCGCCCTACAAGCTGCAGACCTGGAGTTTGGAGGTACTATGCACTATGCAAGCCGAAGCCATCACTTCAAGCACCTGCAGCTCGTCCGGCCAACATCTCCAGCGCTGGCTCCGCCGTCGATGCCAACGTTGGTTGGAGCAGCGACTCGGCCGTCGGTTCCAAGGTCAGTTCCGACGGTTTGATCCAGGAGGATCCTGTGAAAGAGGATCCTGCCGGGGACGGAGCTTGGCCTCGCAAGCTCGAAATCGGCGTGGACGGAGAGGGAGACATTCCAATCTGAAAAATCATAGTTGACTGACTATTTATATCTATTTATAAGATTTTATAAGTTGAGCATGTTGAGCCATGAAAACCAAAGTCCTATGAACACCTCACCGCTCCAAACCAGGGTTTGAAATCTCGTTGGTCAAAAGTCACAGCCGACTCTATAGAGGTCATGACTCCCTGGATGTTAAGAAATTGAACGTCAAATGTTTTTCCTGCCTGCCAGCTGAATTGCCAGAGCGCGAACATAATTACTTCTAATCACCTTTTCTGGCAGCCAACACCATCAACTCTGACCACAGGTGTATTTTGACCATGGGGCATCATGGGGATGCTTAATGAATTTAATGATAAAGGGGAACGACAAACCACCAGAAGCAGTGAAGAACGAGGCCTTGTCCAGACCCATCAGATCGTCCATTGGCTTTGCCAACACGCCACTTTTTTGGCACTGCTTTCCTGCCGACAAAAAGCTGCGTACTGATGGACTCCATGATTATGTTTGCACCCAGCCACAAATCCTACTCCTATTCTTTCCATTTCTTTCCTTCATCATCCCCATACAAGCCAAGACATCTCAAATCAACCTCTGAGGGAGCTCTTGCGTTTTGCTATAGATTCCTCCCACAGACAAGCACGCTATGCTCCAAGGCACTTCAGCACAATGGTCAGGACGCCGTGCTCCAGCGTGGTTTCGTCTTCACAGGCTTTGAAGCAGCCCTCAGATTGATCCCAGCTGAATTCTTGCATCCAGACTCCTTGCGTTTGCCTGGGCAACAAGGGAAATGACCTGAAGAATCACATGGTTTCCCCCTTCGAAACCACGCTCACTTCCAATTTTGGTTCCCCACGAAGCCAGAAACCACAGACCCATCCCTTGCCTGATGGGCTCAACCTTTCGAACCGCACCTTCTTTGATGGACGGTTTCTTGTTGATCACCACCTGTTCAAAGCTTCCACACAGATCACTAAAGTGGCGGGCAGAATCTTAGAACATTATGTAAAAAAGATCAAAAAAGATGGTGTCAAGTAACCCAGTAGCACGGCTGAGAACATGAAAATTCTCGAGAACCAAAGCCGACCTACGACATTGCTAATGGACCCCACAAATGGGTTGTGAAGTTCATGTTCCCTCCTCCATGGCATATGTAGGCATCTAGGCAATGGCATGAAGATGGATTTGTTGGAGTACGTACAAAAGAGAAGGGTCATGTCACCTGTTGTCTTCACACACTCTTCGCAGCTTGTTACCACTCTCAAAACTAGCACCCGTTGCAGAACAAATTCTGCCTTCACGCCGTTGGGAACGTCGTCCGAGATGATGTCGATTTCATCCTCGCTGACGCCGGGACACTCGATGCAAATAAAGCGATGCAAGCCTTTGCCATCTTCAAGCTCTTTGTCGTATATGTTCACCTCAGCTCCACAAAAACAGCACTGACTAGTGATTGTTGCTTTCAGATGCTTTCAGTCCAATGCATTTTGTTCAGTTCAGGCATCACCAAATCTGTTCTACGACCCCAAGGCAGCCTAGCTGGCTATGGGCAATTACTGTACGACTCTGACTGTGAACGAACGACTGCAAAATGGAGACTTTCCAAAACCTCTGTTGCACTGGAACATGCTGGAGATTCCTGCAAGGCCCTTAAGCACCTTACGCAGTGGCTTTCACAAATTCACATGCGCAACTAAGCATAGGATTAAGGCTGCGATGGAAACACTAACGCATTTTGCGCTGCTTTCTTTTTTGCCTTTTCGTACTTGGAAACAAGGGGTGAAGGTGCATGAGTGTGAGTGTGTGTGTGTGTGCGTGTAGATGTATGATATATCATGCGGCATGCATATATATATATATATATATTATATATATATATATGTATATATGTACTGAGCTGTTCTGGTCTGCATGCCACTTGCATTTGCTTACACATGTATCCAATGTGCATGCGTGCCTGTTCTCCCCTGACTGATTTTCAGGATTTTCTGCTAGCGTTCCGACCTCTTCCAATGGTTAAATACTCAATGCATGACTTGTCCCCCAACTTCAAGTAAGCCCATTCTTTGATGTTCATTCCATAAAACTGCTACCAGTATTTGCAGAATGTGGGGCACTGCCTTTCAATTTTGGCAGTACAACTTTACGTTGCTAACTCAATAGCAACTGCAAGCACATGTTGGCAATCTTTCTTGCGCAGGCTTGGGATTCTTGATGACTCACAGTTTTGTCGTGTCCTTCAACTTAAGAAACGGGATTGGAGTCGGAACGCCCAGGGCACTTTACTTCTCTGATGGATTTTGTTTAACCGAATTTAACCGACTTGCCCACGTGTGATGCGGCGTATTGGACACGAGCGAAGCGGACAGCCGGAGACAATGTCTACATGTCTAGGTCCTAGGTGGATATTTCAAGCACTTCTTTTCCTACATGTCTAGGATAGAATTTCAAAAAGCAACCTAGTGCATCACCAAATCTTGCCGGTGTTTGTCATGACTACGAGAAGGAGGCTCAGATTGAGAAGGAACATGGAAACTGCTAAAAGGACAGGACAATGACAAATGGGCGAAGCGAAGGTGACTAAAACCTGCTCAATCAAAAACCACTTCTGCTCGGTGCGCATCACACAAAACTACAGGATGGTTCACAAGGGGCTCAAAGCCGGTGTTGTGCGCGATGATCTCCCCCAACGCCGAGACGATGCCGCGGGTTTTGGTGGTCACTCGAGAAGTCTTGGGCGACACGTGCATGTTGAAGGTACCCGCACGACCATTGTGGCCTTCTGCCAACTTCTCAAAGGACACGGAAATGGTTTGCTCCGAAACCGCTGAACGCACCACTGACTCCTGCGCACCCAAAAAAGGGGCGAGGCAGCCCTCAGTGGCTTCTACCCAGGGTACGCAAGCAGTGGCGGCTCAACCCCTGGTTGGTTGATGTTGGTTGGTTATTTGCAGGTGGTTGCACAGCCCAATTGGGGATTATCATCATCCACTACAGATACACTAGTTGTAGATCATACGACCCCTGCCTCTGGGAGAGTGGTTTCGATGTTGACATACTTGGGCAAGAGCGCGGAAAACTCAGACTGCAGAATGTCAGTGAGTGCCATGGTGGTTCCAAGTCTGTTGCCAAGTTCCAGACCTTGGCTGAAAAACACGCAAAAAATCGCCGTTGGTGAACCATGGAAAGTATATCAGCTGCGACCAAACTGTTTCCCCTATACGGAAAAGAACGACTTGAGACATGGCAAGACGCTCTGCAGCAAATGCTCTCGATTCTTCGCGTTGAACTCATCGCCAGCCTTCGAAAACTCATAGCAGAGTCCGACGTGATGCACTGGGGGAGCTTCTTCCCCGCGAAATGCAGTGAAGTTGAGCCCGCCTAAGTGTGAAGGTTCTCCATCATAGCACTGCATCACTTGACCCCTGAAGAGCTCTGTGGCCTCTTTCAAGTCCGAAGTGTTGCGCAAGTTGTGGACTACAATCAATTCCTGGCATGCCGAGGCAACCATCAAACGCACCAAAGAACTGAATCTGCGGACATCAGCGGCATCACCACCTTTTTGCAGCCCATCCAAAACCCGCAGAGTTGTTCAAATTACGCCCCAGTAGACCCCAAACAATTCAGAGTATAATGCAAAGCTGGCAGAAATCAATTGGACAATTCACATGTCTTCGGACGAAGTGTTGCAATGTAAGACTTAAAACTACAGCAAAGATCAGCAAAGCAGATGGCCCGGAAACCAAACAGTTCGATTATCAGAGATTCTATTAAGACAGGATGTGTGTGTGTGCTGATTCAGATAAAATAAGGTTTCATGTTGATGGCTATATATTATCAGACAAGCCAGCCAAAAGGCGAGCACTGCACACAACAGCAAGGCCAAGAAGAAGGGAAGCACAAGAAAAGAGACAAGAAGGGAGACAAGTGGGGAGGCAAGAACGGAGCCTAATTTCAAACGGAGACAAGCCGGCGAGATGGCTCAGTGAAGGGAAACAAGAAGGGAGACAAGAGGGAAACAACTGGAGGCAAGCTTGCAACAGCAAGGCGGAAACACTTTAGAAAGCACGGAGAACCGCTGGGAGATCGCACCGGCAAACCAATTCCACAAGACAAATGAACAGAAAGGCAGAGATTGTCCGACGCCATCACGGAACCACAAGACCCGCCACCAAACCTGGGAGACAAATGAAACCGTTTGGAAACAAATCCAGAACCTACACCGAACCTTCACCTGGGCCGAAACCCTAAGCCAGCGCTCTTGGGGAAAAACTCGGAAACGAGGAAAAACATTCAGGCTTAGGGAGCAAATGGAAAAAAATTGCCCAAAGAGCCAAACACCACCGACACAAAGGTGGACACCTCTTCAGGAATCAGAAAGAATTGATGACCACGAATTGACAATACTGTCTGGGCTTGGGAAATAATCAAAATATATGTCTATTATATATACAGTATCAGTATATATATATATACCCTATACCACCAAACCCTGGAAATTTCTCGGGTTTGTGAGTAAACCTCGGTTTTGACGGGCAATGGAAGGTAAAACCCGGTTTTACCCCAGAAAGCCCGGTTTTTGGCCAACACCCTAGATTTACCATTTTTTTGCGGATGTGAAGAGACCCAAATGAATTTGATTTTAAGACTCTACTCATTTGATTTGGCAAACATGGGTGTTTGAAGCAATCTCTTTTCGTTGTTTTTTTGTAGACTCCACCGGACATGATAACATTTAATCGACTGACTGCATATTTTTTTCAAATTGTTGCAGGTAAATCTCGGGTGGGGATTGCTTCCAACCTCAAACCCATGATTTACCCGTGTTATAACCGTGATTTACCCGTGATATAACCATGATTTACCTGTGATAACCCATGTTTTGAAACACGGGTTCGAGCCAGCTAACTGTGTTGATAATTTTCACTCTTCTTTATGACATTTTATTTTTAACAAAAGGCATGGATGCGCGGAGAAGTCGGACCATTAAGATCGGGCAGTCCCGTCGAAAAAGCCGAACATATCGGCCCACTACTTCAACATACCTCGTGGATATTCTAGAACAACAGCCAGCTACAATCTGCAGTGAAAAGGGCAAAACCCGGTTTTACCCGGTAAAACCCGTGTTTACCCCTCACGCCTGGAAATTTCTCGGTTTTGGAAGGGCAGGGTATATCAAATTATATCAAAATATATCAAAATGATGCTCCCTGGTCCCTGGTGCCTTTTGCTTCTTGCACTGCACGTAGTTCTGATGGAGCATCTCCAGGTACTTCTGCTCGAACCACGTCAAGTCGTTGACCACGAAAATCATTTGGTGAGAAATCCTGAACCGAATGAACCCGCAGGCGGTCAGACCCTTCACCATTTGCTGGTTGAAATTGTGGCAACAGCAGGGCAAAAGAAGTAAGATCACGGCATCACGGCACATCCATGCTTTGGAAACAGAAACCCTGCTCCTGCTAATCACCTTGAACACCAACGATTCGGTGGTCATCGCATCATGGATGGCATCCACAGCTTGCTTTCGATAGGAGACGGTGGACTGCACGCCAGCAGAATCTATTAACAGCATTCGGCGCTCTTTGATCCAAAGGAAGCTCAAGCCCCTGGTAGTGCAAAGCTTTCCGGCAGGTAAGTTCACACCGAACAACTTGTTCAGCAGCCACGTCTTGCCTTCAGGGTTCTTCTTGCTCGAAAGCAGGAACAGACAAGTTGCAAAAATAATTTGACTTAATTACCTAATTTCCGTGTTTAGTGTTGAACTGCGCGCCTTTGTCAAAAAGGCCGACGACTGCAATGATGCGATATCGGTTTGCACTCTCCGTCGCAACTTCAAAATGCGACTCCGCCTTCTGGAGGAATTCAATCTTGCCTTCCTCCAGAAACTTTGCCAAAGAATCACAAGCCTCAGCTGGCATGTGCTCTCTTACATGTACTGTAGCCCGAACAAGCTCCTTCAATGCTTTGACACATTTGAAATTTACAAGAACCTGAAAACAAAATGCATGCATTACAAGCAAAGAAACCAGGATGGCATCGTACGGAGTCTCTGCCTGAAACTTAATCTGCTGGGTTCGCCAGACTTTCTCAGACCGTTCCTGCAGAAACCATCTCCTCGTCGACACCTGGCGCCACTTGGCCTGGATCTTCACCGCGGAACGGGTCAAGCGGCACGCCCGCTCGGCTGCCTGGTCGCTCCCTGCCTTCATCAAAGCATGGAAGCGGCTGACCTCTGAAGCTAAGCGCTCTGCCTTTGCTTCAGATTCTTCTCTGCGCTGTTTTTCCGCCAAATACCGCAGTACATGTCTGCTATTGGCATCATGACAGTAGATGTCGATCTCAAAATCCTCGGCTTGGATGTTGCTAGGATGTTCCCAGTAGCGATCTCGTTCGATGTAGTTGTTGTTCAGAAGCTGCTTGCCGTTCCAAACCACCTTGAATGTCAACCACACATTGGCATAATCGGGATTCTGAAGTCGAAGGACAGGGCGACTGTGTGCCTGGCATGATTGGGGATAGAGGTCCAGCTTCACCTGCACACCCAGAAAGTCCACCTCTCGCGTGAGGCACTGATCACGAGCAACTCCTTGGCACTCTGCATTCGGCACGCGCCAGATCACCTGATCACATGATCACCGCCCAATGCGGATTGACTGCGACAGCCTTGATTCACCAACTAGGAGTGCCTCCACTTAGCTTTGCATCCTCTGACCCTGCCAAACCGGAAGCGACCTAGTGACCTATTGACCTAGTGACCTAGTGACCCAAAGGGCAGCAAATACTTAATTAGCTGAAGATACCACCCTCCGCCCGTTGCCTTGGCATTCACCGCATCCACCTCGATATTGCCAGCGCTCATGGTGACTCCCACGGACGCACAAACAGCACGAAGGAAAGGATGGAGAGCGCTCGAGCTTGATCGCCAAACTACAGGCCATTAAATGATCATCAAATATATCAAAACAGCTTGGACTGCTGAACTCGTGTCTTTGCTCTTGCAAGTGGCAGTCAAGTGGCATGCTTGCAGAAATCAATCAACGCTTACTTACTGATCTATGTTCAGCTTTCTCGCTTCAGGACCCCGTGTACCAACTGTTCCGTCACAACACTGGCACTGCACCGCCAACTCTGAGCTCTCCAACGTGAGCAGCGTTGACAGCAACGTGACCTCAAAGCATCAGGTCTGTCTCTGAGGCTGAGCAAACTGCAAAATTCTCAGCAAAAACATCCCATTTCTGGTGGCCTCATGATCACAGGAACCCATCGGTACGGAACGCCAGAGTTGTCAATCTGCATGACATCGTTCCCGAATGTGCAATGTTTGTGTGCAATTCAGAGCTTCGTCCAAAAACCTGCCATAGGCATATAGAAATGCTCCATATTATTCATATTTGGATGATCCCAGCTACTTTTAAATCAAATTCATGGCAATCAGTCAATATTGACCAATAGTGGTCATGACCAGGCCAGACAGGCAGGAAGTTCGTCTACTGCCACTGGGGGAAACGGCTCATCTTCAATCATGTCTTTCATGGCAAGACGTTGCAGCCGGGGCAGGGCGCGATGTAGAAAAGCGCGTTCACTTCAACATCCAAGAACCCCGCATGTAATTTTAAAGTTACAGTTGGAGCAATCTTGCTTGGTCCCTCTTCCCCAAAGTGAAATCCGCTACTACCAAGCCTCCAGGCTATGATGTCTGGTCCTGCCTCTCACTTGAAATCTCCAAAGAAAACAATCTCAATCCATCCGAATCCATCCTTTATGTCTGTCACCGTCGTCCCAATCTAAACCCACCATTCTTCCGAGGTCTCAAGCCCCATAGAGCGGAAGGAGATCCAGAGATGGCCTGGCAATTCAATGTCTCCAGACTGGGCATCTTGCAGAAGTAGGAGACTCATATTTACCGTTAAAAAACACATAGAGAATATGATAATTGTAAATGTCTGTCAGCTTTCAGTGGCATATCAATACATCTGTTCAAAATTGATTGAGCATGATTATATAGTTCAAATTATTCAATTCAATCGTCTCTCGGAAATGACTCCTAATGTGGCAGACATGATCAGCACAATGATGCCTGAGATGCCATGAATAATCACAGCTCAATGGTTTGGGAAACAAAGTCGTCACGGAGATCTGGCAAGATTGGATCAACTTCAGGGACCAATCAGTGTTTTACATTCCTGGAAACTGTCCCTTCTCGGAAATCAACGAGAAAAAAAAACTCATCAAGTCAAGTGAGTCAAGTCAAAACCGCCATGCCCGCCACAGCTGGGTCTCCATGCTGTCGTTTTTCACGGGGCCTTTTTTCGTTGAAAAAATCCTGCAGTGCAGAGATTGCACCAGGCCGTGGCTCATCAGTTTGGATCATGTTGACTGTTGACTTGCTGGTGTTTCAGTTGATTTACCCTCTGGTAAACATAAAAAACTATGGAAAATCACCATTTTTAATGGGAAAACTCACTATAACTGGGGTATTGTTAATAGCTATTTTGACATAACCAGAGGGTAGCATCAAGATGCATTCAGAGTACAATGGATTCAACAGACTCCAAGTTCCAAGGCCAGTGCTCACAACCGGCCCAGGGAATCCCCTCCGGAAGTGGCGCCTCGGTCTTCAGCATTCATCCGGATCCCAAAAGTCGAGCCTCAGCAGTCGATGCCAACTTGCCACAAGCACTTCGGTTCTCGGCCACGTGATGTCACATGCGAAAAACAAGATGCGCGGATGTCTCCAAGACACGGCTCACGGGTAAACAAATTCTGAGACGGCACATTGATCGTTATTGGTATTTCATCGTGTATCTGGGATCTGTATCTGTATAATATAATTAATATAGTTCTAAAAATGGAAGCCATAGCTTTTGGAGTGTTAAATAATGTGTGTGTCAACAGTGTGTGCAATATGGCCTTGACTCAGAAAAACCACCAACTTGATGGCGTGCTTGAAATCCATGCATGGTGCCAGGGAAAGTCACGCCCCTGCGGCCCCTGCAGCCCTGGGAGGTTCTGATAGGTGCGCCCAAGAGCTCAAGGTTGAGGTGCAAACAGATGCTGTCGGAGAGCCTCATGGTTTCGTCTCAGTATCAATTTGACTAATTTGGCACGTTGGGAAGAGAAATCACAACATCAAAGCTGACAACTATGACTGTTCTTCAAAATAACATTCTACAATCGCAAGCACAGGACCATTGAAAACCAGCGCCTCGGTCAGATCGTTGAGCGCCAGGCAAACCCCATGTGTCAGGTAAGGTCTTCCTCAAGGTTCACATGACCAAGTGAAATGGCACCACAACGACAATACATGATAATTCCAAATACGGCACCATTGACAGCCGGATACTGCATTGAACCTGGCATGAACGCTTGTTCATTCTACTTGTTTCTTTCCCAATCTCTGCAGGAGATATTCCGTTGGGGCTAATCCCTTCCACAGGCAGGCTGGCAGATGTGTTCCAAACCAAGGTGTTGAAGCACCGTCAAAACCCCCTTGAGCAGCGTATTTTCTGGGAACATCGAGCAGTGACGCTGCTGGTCAGCAGCATGGCAAGGACTTTGAGGCCTAAGAATTGGTGATCTCACCCTCAACTTCGGATCCTTCGGGCACATTTGGCTCTGCACCTGGTTCTGGTTCAACTGGTTCAACTGGTTCATCTGGTTCAACTGGTTCCGGCTCAGGTTTCTGTTCTGGAGCACCCTTACCCTTGTTCCAAGAGAAATGCTTGACACCTCCGTAGCGAAAGGGAATGATTTCCCCCTTGCGAAACTCCGGCTTCCCCAATACCACTTCCAAGGCCTTCTTCGTGGCTTCACGTGGATCTAGATGCCAGTGTGCAGCTTCCTTCAAGAACCACAAGATCGTCTTGACGGTCATCATGCTTCGGCGACCTTGGCTCCAGGTATACCAGGTAGCCTGGATCAAAAAAACCGAACTGAAGACATGGCTATGCGGAAAGCAACACAGAAATGACCTGGCCAGGGTCAAAACCCTGGCCCGGCTGGTCTATCTGGGACGATCTGGGATGGTAAGTGACCCAAGCCATTTCAGCCAGGCTGCGTTTCGTGGTCAAAGCCGCGAGAGCATATTGGGAAGCCTCATCTTTGTCACCGAACAACATGTCCTTGCTGGCCAAGGCCTTCGTCCAAGCATCCAAGGTTTCCATGTCCGGATGATCTTCCGTGGCCAGTACTTCAAGAGCACGTTGGGTGGCTTTTTTGCGATAAGACAATTTCCTTTTTCTGGAACTTCCCACCTTGTCTTCAAAATAGCTGTAGAAAAGGTCTGACCACTTTTTGATGTCTTCCAAGGATGAATGATTTCCATCGAACAGGACTTCAAGGGCAGCCTTGATGGCATCCTGTTTATACTTCTCCCCTCCTCCATCCTCGCTGTGGAACCAGTCGATCCAAGGCTTCAAATCATTCGGCTTTGGGACTTCTTGGTAGATCGAGACCAATCGCATGACATCTACACCCGTGGTTCTAAGCCCCCTACGAAATTCATCCTCTCTCGTCAAGTAGTCGATCAATGCCTTGATATCGTCAAAGTTGATCTTCTTGGCTTCCCGACCCTCCCTGCCGGTGAAATTCCCATAGTTGATGCTGGAGTAGTCAGGCTCCGGCTTCGGCATAAGGTCAAGGAGCTCATGCTGGTTGCTGCGGAGAGAGGCCCCCGTTGCCAGGAGCATGAAAGACAACATCGCTGACATGGCCATGGCGCGAAATACAACCACGCAACGTCGGGTTTGCAAACGTTTGAGGTTTGAGTCTGTCAAAGGGCGATCTTGTAAGGTAGCAGCAAGTGCATGTGCAGGTGCAAAAAAAAGGTATATCATAATGCAGCATCAAGGGTATGCGCAAGTGCAAGAGAATACCGTATAGCGTAGCAGCACGAGAGAATGTTTTTTCACGTAGCATCCAGGGCACAAGTGCACGAGAAGATCTTATAAGGTAGCAGCAAGTGCATGGCAGGTGCAAAAGAAGATATCATAACGCAGCATCAAGGGTATGCGCAAGTGCAAGAGAATATCGTATAACGTAGCAGCAAGGGCATGGGCACGTGCGACAGAAGAGCTTTTCACGTAGCATCAAGTGCATGTGCAAGTGCAAGAGTAGGTCCTTTAACAAAGCACCAAAACAGTATGCAATGGCAATGAACGTTATTAGGCCCCCCTGGCCATGTGGCTTCATCGAACATGGCAATGCGCGCCTCCTGTTGTATTTGGGCCACAACCTGTCACATATCATTGGCGGCGTGTGGTGGCAGGCCCTGCGAGAGATGAGCAAAACAGTGCGTGCAAACCTGCAGCCAGCAATGCCCGCACAATACTTCCTCATCCGCATGCGGTTCTGTAGAGCGTCAAGGACAGTGTCAAGTAAGTGTCAAGCAAAGTGTCAAGAAAAGTGTCAACTAAAGCGTCGGGAAAGTGTCAAGTTATAAAGTAGAGTGGAGTCACGTGCAAAGCAAAGCCCAGTCCCAAGCAGTCACATGCGAAGCAAAGTCAAGTCACTTGTAAAGTGAAGTCAGGCCAGATAATGTTAAGAAGTGTCATGACATCGAAGACATGCAAGTGAACAAATGTACGTGAAGGGATGTTCAGAGAGGACTTGCTAGCAGGACATTGACTTTATGAAACGCCCTTCGCCACGGCTTTTGGAAAAAGGCTCAAGCACATGTGGAAGTTGGTTTCCCCTAACAATCCCCTGAACCTGCAGCTCTTGCAGCTTGAAAAGGTCAATCCAAACCGGTCGAAAATACCAGGCTTCCAAACAGCTCGAAGAACTGCTTAGCCGACTTCTCAGGCCTCAGTGTGGCGCAATAAATCGATCTTGACCTGCAAACATAGGAGTTCAACTATTAGATCCAAGGCGCTGCAAATTGGGTCGTATTTCTAGAATAGATTGAATATCCAACTTTCAAGGTTGCAAATTTAGAGCCCTTGCATTCAAGCAGGAGCAGAGCATTGCAAAGTCAATAGATTTCCGCTTCAACTTTACAAGCATGGCTTCCGTAAGCTAAATACATAAGCATTGCATCATAACCAACAGCCAGATTGATTCATTTCTACCCACCTGGGACAGCAACTCACCGACTTTTCGGGACTCTCCTGTCGAGCATCCGCCTTGGAGACCGCTGTGCCCGGGGACTCTTTGGGAATGTGCAGAATTCTTCAATTTTTGGCATCGCGAAAGGTCGGGAACTAAACCTGACATGAATTCCATGATACCTATGACGCAGCTTGATACCTTCTGGACTGACTACTATAGAACGCTGGTGGGATTCCACCAGGCCTGTCCGAGCTGCATCTTCAAATAGGCTTCCATCTGAATCAGATTGGATCATGTTGACTGTGCACTTGGTGGTGATTATATAAGTATATAATATTTATATATAATTATATAATTATATAAGTGTTAATTATTGGCTGTTAATAGCAACAAACAAGCACATGGATTCAACAGTACAGTCGAGTACTTTGATGTCTGACTTTGCTGGTCAGCTGGAAAGGCGCTACACTGCAGCAATATGAACTCCAGGCTCCAAAGCCAATGTTCTCTCCAAAAACAAGAAGTGGATCATCCACCTACTCCAATCTGCCAGAATCTGCCAGAACATGCCAGAACCCTATCTTCTAAAACCTGAACGTCCGCTAAAGGGACAACAAAAATCCTCCGGTTGAATCCGGAAGTGGCGCCTCAGTCTTCACCGCCAGGGACCTAGGATCACGATCTGAAAGTCGAGCCTCAGCAGTCGATGCCATGCAAGGCGTTGTGCCATATGTGCCATGTCAGAACCACGATGAACCAAGTGAGTCAGGTCCAACAACTGCCAATAGAGCGAATGAAGACTCCTGTAGTCACATGTGGTATCACATGCCACCTTTTTTTTTTCGGAATGCTGCAAGTCCTTGCTTGGTTCCGGCACATCTACTCGCAACTTTGCACGCCCATGTAACGATCAGGCTGTAATATGTCCACAGGCACAAAATCCATGCGAAGCAGATTGGCGACCTTGCCCGACGGTGCCTCTTTGGACTGTCCGGGGTCAAAGGTGTCAATTGTAAATTTAATTACCGCCTCGCTAAGCACATGAAAAACCATGAAGTTCATGAAGTTTCCAGCGCAGACGGCAGCATTGCGAATCATTTCCGCTGTTTGGGGATCGGACAAAGGCCCGGTCTCTCTCTATGTCCTGTTGCCAATGGGTCGGCAGGCTGATCTGCTGAGGTCATAAGTTGTTAAAGCGCCTCCAGCCAATAAAGACCCAAGGCCTTGTGCCTTGTTTCAGAAGGCCACCTACTAGATGGCTTTAGAAACTGCTTGGGAAGGCAGGCACCTCTTCTTCCAAGAAACAAATCGAAGATGATGAAAGCACACAGAAGTAATTAGATAGATATGAAACTCAACAGAATCAGTCCCTCAATCTCGATTGTTTTAAAAAAACACTGCCGAAACTCAAACCCCAAACAGGCTGCAAGAAAATGTGAGGAACCTTGTGCAGTTCACTCAGGATCAAACTAGCTAAGACTGCCAGTGCCACGTCTGCAAGGCACCATCACATCACCAAACACAAACAGACCGGATGTTTGAAAAACAAGCTGCCACATACCCAAACCGCTTCGGCTCACAGCCATTCAAGGCCGCTACGCCATTGCGGCCAGCTTTCGGCTCGCAGCCTCCGACGCCACTTCCGACACCAGGATCGCAGAGGTGCAATCCGATGCGCTCGCAGAAAGCGGAAGGTGCAGTTTTCCTCCGGCTTCAAGCCCTTCAACCAACGGATACACTAAATCAAATCAGATCAAATCAAATCAATTGTGTATCCCTTAGAGTCAGCCTTAGAGGATGATGTAAAGGTACACATGGGTCCATCTAATCATCACCTATATTATGGAGTGAACATGTGTGAACTGTGTTGAATTCTGGCTGATACTGTTCGAACACCAGGGCTCAATCTGAGCGCCCCCGGACCTCCGCCACATGAAGGACTACAGTACCTACCCAATCACACTCCAAACTAGTTTTGCAGGCCTTGTGCATGGGCATCCGGGCGTCGAGCCCGTGCTTTGCCCAAGCGCCCCTTGCGAGGCTGCAGGGCTTTCCTCAGAGATGAAGACATGCTGGAGATATGATGACCCCAACATACCCCAACTATTTTGGAAAACTGGGATGGGCTGGTCATGGCATGGGATTTTAACAGGTTCCTTGTTTTTGCGCACAACTTTACTGTCACAGACATTGGTTTCAGGTCCTGTGGTTCCCTACACCCAATCTGATTTAGCCAAGACGCTTCAGCACCATGGTGAGAACGCCATTCTCCAGCATGGCTTCATCTTCACAAAGCTCAAAACGTCCCTCTGTCTGATCGAAGAAGAACTCGCGCTCCCACATTCCGTGATGCTGCCTGCATTGAGAAAGCAAATGCAAGCACAAGGATGACATGGGTTCGTCCAAAAATAGCTTGTTCCATTTACCTCAAATCCCCCGGAACACTATTCCCTATTCCCCATTCAAATGGCCGTTTTAGTACGGGCGCCCTCATTCAAACACATCCGACATGTCTCGTTGCAAAAATGGTCGCCGGGCTGCCTAATGGGCTCCACCGGCTGAACTGCATGTTCCTCGATGGGCGGCTTCTTGTTGATGGTGACCTCTTGGAAGTTGACGAAAGATGACGAAAGAATGGGAAAGGCACCCTTTGGAATAGAGCCACCATTGAACCATGGTTTCTGAAGTTTCTAGATTTCAACGGGGGATAATGGGGGTATTGAATATCAGGATGAAGGCATTGTGAAAGCGGCCCGCCTTCACACCGTTAGGAAGCTCCTGCCATTCGATTTCCTCTTCCACAATGCCTGGACATTCGATGCGAATGAAACGCTGCACGCCAGTGTCAATGGCTTTGTCAAAGACATGCACCTGGGTTCAAACACCACACTTGATCCGAAACGGACGTGACGATCTAAGGACAACAAACACCAAGGAAAACCGATAGAAAGGTGTCTCGAACGTACCTCAAACATCTTTGCAACATACAACCTCTGAATCAAAAATGGAAAATACGGATCCGGATAGGTCACAATGGGATCGAAGCTCACGTCGTGAGCGATGATCTCTCCCAGTGGGGAGATGACGCCACGGGTCTTGGTCGTCACGCGAGCTTTGTCGTTCGAGAGGCGCATGCAGAAGGTGCCAGAAGAAGCGTAGCGAGTGCCTTCAACTTTGGGGACTGAAGCCTTGTCATTGGCACCCTGGAAGATCACTGAAACAGCCTGCTCTGAAGCAGCTGACGCCTGTCGCCAACAGGATCAAGGAAACAAGTTGCTTGTCGCGGGTACAATTTGGTGAAAAATCTGACCCTTGCCTCCGGTTCAATGGTCTCGATGTTGACAAATTTGGGAAGAAGCCGGGAAAGCTCTGAACAAAGCAAGTCAGTGAGAACGATGTTGGTTCCCAGCGTGTTGCCATGTTCCAGGCCTTAGCTGTCTGGCTCTGAAATGTGCTTGCGTGACTCGAGTCAAGTGGTATCAAACCAGGCAACCAGCCACAGGCTGCTCAACCGCCAAGCTACTCTGGAGCAAATACTCGCGGTTCGTGGCATTGAACGCATCCCCTGCTTTGGAGAACTCGTAGCAGAGCCCGATGTGATGCACTGGAGGAACTCCTTCACCAAGGTCTGCAGTGAAAATCAGCTTGGCCTGGTGCGACGGTTCTCCGTCATAGCACTGCATTACCTGACGCCTGAAGAGCATGCTCGCTTCTGCCACATCACAAGTGTTTCTCAGGTTGTGAACGACAATGAGTTCCTGCAGGGGAATGAGACAATCCTGTATGGGATGCAAACTGGATCGGCACAGCTAAGAGTTTGCACCAAAATCGCGCTGACAGAAGTGTCAACATTGTGAAAAACAAAGCACCCTCGCGACCCTGGTTCCTTGTGTTGCTTGCACTGCACGTACTTCTGATGGAGCATCGCCACATACTTCTGCTCAAACCAGGTCAAATCGTTGACCACAAAGACCATACGATGAGAAATCCTGGATGGAGCCACCCTGTCACATGTATGAAACCCATGGAAACCCATGCAGCTTTTTGAGGAGCATGCAAAGAACGACAATGAAAGGATCCATGTGCTGCAATCGCAAATTGTAGTTTTGCCAAGTCCGAATCCTTGAAACCATCTCAAACATCAAGGATTCGGTGGTCTGAGCATCATGGATGGCGTCCACAGCTTGTGCTCGATACGAGACAGTGGATTGCACGCCAGCAGAGTCAAGCACCAACATCCGGCGCTCTTTGATCCAAAGGAAACTCAAGCCTTTCGTGGTGCAAAGTTTTCCAGCAGGTAGGTTCGCGCCAAACAACTTGTTCAGGAGCCAGGTCTTGCCTTCAGAGTTTCCCTTGTCTCGCATTAAAGAAAACAAAGGAGAAGCACTTAAATTCTTAGTTATCAAGTTCATTCAAGTTCCGAATTAAACTGGTGGTATTGATGTCACGAACGGCCTTTGTCAAAGAGCCCAACGACTGCAACGACGCGATAGCGACTCTCCTTTGCGATTTCAAGAAGTGATTCTGCCTTTTGGAGGAACTCGATCTTGCCTTCCTTCAAAAACTCTGCCAAAGAATCGAAAGCCTCACTTGGTGTGTCAAGAGTTCGGTGGAAAGCGGCCATCAGACCATAGTTTCAAGTTTCAACCTAAAAACTCGAAAGCATCCAAAAAGTTGCTGATGTAAGCAAAGCCATGCAGTCCAGAATTGCATCGTATGGAGTCTCTGTGTTGGAGCAACCATTCTGTGCATGTAGCCACCGGCGTTGACACTTCTTCTGCTTCAAGCGCCAAAGGGTCTGCAAACACAAAATGGCTCTGACCCGCTTCGCCTGCCGCAGGCGCCGGTCTGTCTCATCACGTTCCCGCAAAAACCGCCTCCGAGTCAACACCTGGCGCCACTTAGCCTGAATCTTCACCGCAGAACCGGTCAAACGGCACTCCCGCTCAGCAGCCTGGTGGCTCCCTGCGTTGATCAAAGCATGACAGCGGTCGACCTCTGCGGCCAACCGCTTTGTCTCTGCCTCCGACTCTTGCAACTCACCATCCAGGCGCTTTGCCTCGCCTTCTGCGGCTCGTAAAGCCTTCGTCTTTTGCAGGTGAGATTTCAACAGCAGCTTGGGCAATGCATCTGTCAGGCTGTTAGGAGCAAGTCTCACAAAATGAATGACAATTTCAACATCCTTTCCCGCAGGAACACGATTGGGGGACACTTGCCTTTTGTTCTGCGTCAAGGTGAACTCCTCGCCGTTGATCACCGCGTGGACTTCGAACTCCCCTGCTACGTCCAAATGAAAATAAAACATGGGACGGAACACTAAGCTGCAGTCCAAACCGTAGACCGTAAAGCGTTCGTACATGTAATCCTCCTCGTCACACAGGTTAAACTCGTCCCATCGCAGCCGCCAGATCACCTTTCAGACCGGATGCAAACCCATGCTGCGTTTGGTAAACACAGCTTTTGAGACACAGCATGTCAAGTGTTTATCGATGTTTATCGACTGCCAAGCCGAACTCCTCTGGCTCTAATCTTATATATAATACCTTCCGTCCAACGGACAACCAACGGACAACAAGGGAGTTGAAGACCAAACCTCTCCGCCCCATGCCTTCGCGTTCGGCAGATCCACCTCCAAGACGCCACCCTTGCGCTGGCGACCGAACATTGTGGCTTAGGACAGGTACCACAACCGGGGGCAGGTTGGATAGAGTTTGATCCAAAGCTACGAGCAATCAGCGGTGCCAGCAGTTGATCAACCTTTTCAATCCTTTTCACCTAAACTCCAGTCCTACCTTTGGAAAGCAAAACAAATTACTCACTCGCCAGGATTGCAACTGTTTTCCAATCAAAACATCTTTGGTGCTGCGCTCCCCACCTCAGGTGCTGCACTTCCCAGGCACGTCCCAGGCACGGCCTCGTCATTCCGATAAGTTGCCAGGAGATCCGCCACCCAAACAGAGGACCAGGTGCAACAAAAACTGGGCCCATGTTCAACCAATAGGCCTGGAATTATGTGTATCATTGTGCATAATTCAAGGCACTTCCAAAGGATTTAAGAAATTCCCAAACAGGGATGCGCAAGGTCTTCAGACATCCTTCATATCTTTCATTCACATGTTTCAATGCTACGAGATTCTAAGGTTCCAAAGCCAAACGAAAAAAACTGAAGAGGAGCAGCACCATCTGATCACCTTTTCCATTGGCAGGGATTCAAAAATGTGAGAACGGTCCTTTTTCTGAGGCACATTGCGATAGGAGGCATTCGTAAAACACCCCAAGGAAGACAGGCCCTGCATTGCGTCGGCTCAGGGCTTGTGCCCAGAGTTCATGCTTTCACAAATGGCTCAAAGTTGGATGACAAAGGGGTCACAAACCTGTCTGTACTGCACACCTGTCCAAACAATGGATACCAAAAAAGGCGGTCGCAAATCTAGCCACACATCGATTTACTAGAGGATGGCTTTTCCAGCCATCAATGATTTTGAGCCACCTTCAGATGAATTGGAACAAGTGGGAGCGACTGCACCGGCAAAGAGTCAGCTACCAACTGACCCCTGGCCACAAAACTGGAAGTGACAGAACTGCTTGCAGCGGGCACACCACACAAACAGAAAGAAACGATTCGGAACTAACTTCATATGTCTCCAAAAGAAATCGCCCGAACTCAAGCAGTTTCTCTCTAAACATTTCGGAACAAAGATTTCGTCTTCTCGAGTTCGCTCCCATCTGTTTTGATAAAAAGAACAGGGATCCATCCAGGATCACCAAACCCCCGTGGGTGCCACACGTCAGGCCCCAGCTGCCCTCGGCGGCATCGCTTCGAGGTTCCAGGACTTCAGGGTGCATTCCGATGCCGTCGGGGAACCAGCGCGGCCTGCGGGTCGGGGGACCATCCGGTTGGTGGGATGCAGCTGCTTATGGAACAACGGAATACAACTGATATGTATGTGAACTAGTCGAAGTTGGACTAAGTTCCTCCCAGTTTGACTCTCGACTGCCGACACCTGGAGACTCTCAATGACTGCTGGCCTGATTGAATGTGATAGAAAACCTCAACAAATGAAGCACTTACTATGTCAGATTCACAGTCCAAGGGTGGTGACATGTGCAGCTGAAACATTTGCTCGGGATCATCTCCACCAAAATTGAAAGGTCTGGGGTGATGTGTCAAACAAGACTTGCCAATCCCTGCTACTCTCATCAACTTTAGTCACATCAGGTGACTGGAAACATGGAGCAGGATGAAACTCAACCCTACCCTGCCACGCCCACAGTGCGTCCCAGACAGCCCCCGAAGGCCACTGCCTGATTCCGGCACGTCAGATCGTCGAATGAGATTGCGCGCTTTGCCCACACCCCACTTGCGAGGCACCGTTTCCTCAGAGTTTCATGGCTCACAACACGATAAACCATGATAAACCATGGGAATTTGATGGAATTTGGGGGTATCTTCCCATCAAACAACCCCATCCCACGTAGCTGTACCATGAACCAAGGCGCTTCAGCACGATGGTCAGAACGCCATGCTCCAGCGTGGTTTCATCCTCGCAGGGCTTGAAGCACCCCTCAGATTGATCGAAGCTGAACTCCCGCTCCCAGGCTCCGTGGGTTTGCCTCAAGGGATGGTGAGTTCAAACTTGGGGGAGCTTCAAATAGCTTCAACTTCATCGTTGTATGGGAAATGGAAATGTCATATTTGGTTTGGATATGATTTATAGATGGCATTCGTCAAAGCGGAGTGGTCCTGAATTCTTAGTCCAAGCTCCTTCAACTCCTTGAAAAGAATATAACAAACAGATACCCATGACGGATCCATGGTGCTGGTATATATGCTAACATGACTGGGGTATATTGATGGGATCCATGTTACCATATATAACAGCACCATGGATCCGTCATGGGATACAAACCGTTTGATCAGGTTGGAGTCAGGGAATCTGCAGTTTTGATCCCATCGAGGTCACTCTACGGACCCTGACCCTGCCTGATGGGCTCAACCTCGTGCACCGCGTGTTCGACAATGGGTGGCTTCTTGTTGATGAACACCTGCAGGGTTGAAAATGTCAAGTCAATGTGCCTTTGAAAGTGTTGGATCAAACAACTTGATCCCTCTGAAAAGGTCGTGTCATGTGAGCTGTTGACAGAATTCTCTGCACCAGCACGTTGTGATAGCAGTCCACACTCCCCACAACAAGGCCATCACCACTTGAAGCAAATCCTGCCTTCACACCGTTGGGAACGTCGTCAAAACAGGTGATTTCCTCTTCAACAACACCAGGACACTCAATGCGAATGAAGCGATGCATGCCATTGCCATTCTCCTTGTCGAAGACATTCACCTGGCGCTGGATATCTACGGTTAAGGCACTTCACCCTGGATGTTCATTCTCCTAAAAGATGGTTCGATAGGTGTTGTCCCATCTTGATACCAGGCACTGGAACTAAGCCAACAAAGAGCGTTGGCCCAAACCAACTCTTCAGAACTGGCCTGGCACTATGCCCCCAGGTCCAAAAACACTGCTGGGGTATACGCCGATCCCTTCTGGCAAGGACGGTTCATGGGGAAGCGGTTTCAAACAAATGAGGCGTGTCTGCGTGGGAAATTTTTGATGTCAAAGACTTACAGCAACAAGTTTGCAAAGTGATGGAGTGCCCAAGGGTTACGAAGAGACGCAACAATTCCAACGAAGCCAAACCATAAAATTATGCCAAGATATGCCATGTTTGAAGTTCCCCCAACTTTGAAACATGTCCAAACGCACAAAAACAATCCTCAAACAATAGGACCAGGTCACAATGGGATCGAAGCTGACGTCGTGGGCAATGATCTCCCCCAGGGGTGAGATGACGCCGCGGGTCTTCGTCGTCACCCGCGCTTTCTCGTGCGAGAGCCGCATGCAGAAGGCGCCCGACGATGCGTAGCCGTTGCCGGCGACGTCGGCAGCCGCGGCCGGAACGAAGGAGACGGAGATGGGTTGCCCAGAAGCGGCACCACAGGCCTGTGCAAAGGGTCCAGAAACCAAGGCCACTTAGGTCAGGCTGAGGTGGCTATAATAGGTATTGCAGGATCCAAGTGGGGATGAAGAATGGATAATAATTGAACTGATTTCTAAAATCAAAAAACATATCATACCAGCCAAATATGCATCTATTGCATCTAATCCCAACCCCCCCCGAACGGGATGGGATTTGGCCGGCCACCTCCGGCTCGGTGGTCTCGATATTCACAAACTTCGGCAGCAGCCGGGAGAGCTCCGCCTTCAGCAGGTCCGTGAGGACGATGCTGGTGCCCAGGGTGTTGCCGTGTTCCAAGCCTTGGTTTACCACAGGCTTTCACTTCTCGGTGATGCCCCAGATTTGCTCAGTCGGGTGTGTCTGAAAATGTTGTGTACCCCTAAACCCAATGGTTAATGATGATTATCCCTACTAAATGGCTATTTCATTGGGAATATACCCTATTTGCAGACAAACCCAAATGGGTTCTTCACCCTATAGCCATGGTAATGACTATCTATTGCCTGGTTGTATGAAACCCAGGCGTGAGCATTGAACATATTGAACCAACACCAGAAATGCCGGTGATACACAGAATCAGCAGTAGGCACCAGAAAAATTGACCTGCAATGTTGATAGGTAAACAATCTTTACTGCAAGTTGTGGTCGTTTTGCCAAATCGAGTAAACTCATGAATGGATGTGAAAATCCACCTTATGGATGATCTCCCCATCAAAACACGATGATCACCTCCACCCCCTGTGCCAAGGCAACGTTGCAACAGATGCTCCCGGTTCTTGGCATTGAAGGCATCCCCCGCCTTGGAGAACTCGTAGCAGAGCACGATGTGATGCACCGGTGGCACTCCTTCGCCCAGGTCCGCGGTGAAGATCAGCCGGCCCAGGTGGGATAGCTCCCCGTCATAGCACTGCATCACCTGGCGGCTGAAGAGCATGGTGGCCTCCTCGGTGTCGGAGGTGTTGCGCAAGTTGTGCACCACGGTGAGCTCCTGGTGTTGCAGAGGGGGCAGAAAGTGAAATGAGGAAGTTGTCCTATGAGGTCCTATGATGTGATTATGATGTGATTATGATGTGATTATGATGTGATTATGATGTGATTATGACGTGATTATGATGTCCTCTGATTATGATGTCCAATGGTTTGTGGTCAGTCCAAGTCTCAGTTTCACCCAATTTTCCACTGACTTTCCCTGGACTTCTCACCTTTTCATGACCGGTTTCCTCACCCCCGCTGTTCCTTGTGTTGCTTGCACTGCACATACTTCTGATGCAGCATCGCGACGTACTTCTGCTCGAACCAAGTCAAGTCATTGACCACGAAGACAATTTGGTGAGAAATCCTGCAGGGGTGGGTCGACCCCTCATCCAACCAATTTTGACAGCAGCTGGGCATGAAGAGTCCATTGTAAGTGAAGCTAAGGAGAACTTTGTGAGAATACAAGGTGACTTCATTGAAAACCCTGAGATAGGTAACCAGGTAGCTTCCGTTGCATCCACACTTATTTTACACCGCATTAAACCAAGAGCAACTCTCATGTTTTCGAAGCCAGTTCCGGGACACCATCTCGAACATCAAGGATTCGGTGGTCTGAGCATCATGGATCGCATCCACAGCTTGCGCTCGATAGGACACGGTGGATTGAACGCCAGCAGAGTCAATCACCAACATCCGGCGTTCCTTGAACCAAAGGAAACTCAAGCCCCGGGTGGTGCAAAGTTTTCCAGCAGGTAGGTTGGCACCAAACAACTTGTTCAGGAGCCACGTCTTGCCTTCAGGGTCTCTTGTGATTCCAAGGCAAGGGAAAGGTTTTTGGTATCAAACATGATTCCCATTCCATATGCGGTACTATAGTTTTCATCATGGTGGCGGGCCTTTATCAAAGAGCCCTACAACTGCAACGATGCGATAGCGACTTTCCTTTGCAACCTCGAGAAGTGACTCTGCCTTTTGGAGGAAGTCGATCTTGCCTTCCTTCAGAAACTCCGCCAAGGAATCGAAAGCCTCATGTAGCGGCGTTTCAGATCCGCCAACGATTTCGTGTCAGGAACCGAGCACGAGATTCAACTGGTGGTTGTGTTTCAACTTTCCACATACCAATCATACCAGTCTCTCAAACACATCCCAACTGAAAGAAAAAACATTCCACTTAAGCAAAGCCCAAGTGAACCAGAATCGCATCATATGGAGTCTCTGTTTCAGAGCAGCCCTTCTGTGCACGTAACCACCTACGTTCGCACTTCTTGCGCCTCAAACGCCAAAGGCACTGCAAAACTGTGATGGCTTTGACAAACTTCGCCTGTTTCAGGCGCCGGTCGGTCTCGGCGCGGTCCCTCTGAAATTGGTGGTGAACCATCACCTGGCGCCACTTGGCCTGTATCTTCAACGCAGAGCGGGTCAAATGGCAAACCCGGTTGGTCGCCTGATTGCTGGCTGCATGAATCAATGCTCGCAAGCGGTCGCTCTCGGCTTCAGCATCTTTTCTGTTTGTTTGTTCGATGTCAAGCTCAGACTTCAACAGCCGCGGCAGCACATCCCGCATGGGCTGCCGATCCACTTGATACAGCTCGATGACAATTTCGAGATCCTCGTCTTTGATTTCCTGGTTGGGCGCTCTAATCCAGGAAACATGTCCAGGCAGACTGGGTTCTGGCGGATAGAAATAGAAACTCTTGAAACCACCCATCAATTCTAACCTTCTTGTGGCTCCCCAATGTGAGAAAGCACCAATCCAACCACGCTGTCCATACCATCCCATATTTTTTTATGTTTTTTCATCCCCAATTTCTGGGACACACCGTGTGGATCCCTGAAGCCCCAGCTTCCGAGTGGTACTCCCGTTGCAGCTGCCCATCCCTCGGGATATGCTGAGTGAAGGCCACACAGCCGTTGATCGACACGCGGACCTGCAGCTCAGCAGTGTCGACGTTTTCCAGGAGAACCATGGGGCGGTTGAGCTGGCCACATCCTTGGACTTTGCTGGGGTCAACAAAATTTACCCTCTGGTTATGTCAAAATAGCTATTGAAAATGACCATTTGTAGTGGATTTTCCCATTAAACATAGTGATTTTCCATAGCTATGTTAGTTTACCAGAGGGTAACAAAATCATGCCATGTATACTGCAGGTTCTGCATATTGGATTTGCTTCCGGACAATTCAAGAGGTTCAGCAGCCCAGACGAAATTTTCGGGCACCAACAATATGTTGGATTTATCTGGCAAATAAGCAACACAAATAAAGATGTTAAAAAGAATTGTCCATATTTTGCATAGCTGGCAGGTTGGAGTCTACAAACCACAGTGAAAATCCTTTCCCTAGGGCAATCCTGGGATTGGATGGGATTCGATGACATGGGTCCGTTCAATAAGACATATGTCATATATCATCATATCCTTTTCCCAGCATATCTAGCCATGATTCACTACTTTGGCAAATAGAAAAAAAAAACGAGGCACGTTTACGCAGCACATCCAGGTCTCCTTTGGGATAGAGCTGCAGTTTCAGCTGCAGCTCCAGAAAGTCCACATGTCTGGAGATGCACTCGTCATGCAGCACCTGCAACTCCCCATTTGGCAACGACCAACTCACCTTGCGGAGCTGTGCGACTCGAAACGATGTCATGGCTAAAGCGAATGCTCCGCTTTGCCGATGTTTTGCAAGAGCCAATATGAGTAAACCATAGTGAACCTCATATTTGCATATATTTGCTGTGTATATAATATACAATATAATTATATGATAACTTATGATAACTTATGTGTTGTTTTTCTGAAATTGTGTCTCAGTCGCAACATGAACAACGACTTGAAAAACCAAACCCCTCGCAGCGCCTTCGCATGCAACACATCCACCTCCAACTTGCCACGGTCAGCGCTCATCACCACAGGTACTACAGGTGGAACGGTGCAGAGCGGAGTTTGATCAAAAACTATGAGAGGTGGCAGCAATCGATCAAGCCTGAAACCATCTGAAACCCTTGGTGATGCATAGTCCTGCTATCCTGGGGTGCAACAGCTTTGCAGTCACTCCATGGACTCCATGGTCTATATTAAATCAATTAAACCAACGCAAAATCTGAGCAGCACTTCCAAACGACTTCGATTTCATGACAGCCAATAGCCAAAAAATACAACTGACCAACCCTCACCAGCTGAGCTCCCCTGCATGAACAGCTCATCTTCACTTCACCAGGCACGTGGCTAAGGATCATAGAGCAGCTTCATGACAAGCCTCATCACCGTTGAAGTTGCAAGCTGTACGCTGCTGTTGCTGAGGGTCATGGGATAGACTTTGGGGGAACATAACTCATGGGCATCTACGTGCTGGATGTATCGACAGTCGAAAGATTTGAAGACAAGGGTCCTTCTCCGGAACGTTCTTCTGAACCCTGTTGAACCTGACCTGGCTCTGCACCAAAGCCTCCCGGAACCTTCTCTGCGCCAAAGCCTCCCAGACCTTCACCGGAACCTTCTCTGGAACCTTCTCCGGAACCTTCTCCGGAACCCTATTGAACCTGACCGGCTTTGCACCAAAGCCTCCCAGACCTTCTCAGGAACCTTCTCCGGAACCTTCTCCGGAACCCTGTTGAACTGACCCGGCGCCTGCACCAGTGCACACCGGAAATATTCTGGGCTGAAGACCCCATTTTACGCTGTTGGGGAAAAACTAGACGACAGTGTTCCGAAAGAAAAGCAGGAGGGAGTACATCAAAAGAGGATGGAAGACAATATATTGAAGATAAATGATGATGAAGGATGATTACTGATGAATGAAGAATGAGCTTGTGGATGCATAACGGCTAATTTATGAATGTAGATTATGAAGCTCTTATATTGTATGTATATCTGTTGGTCCCCATGGCATATTCGCAGATGACTGCGATGACGCAAGGGAATTACACAGAAGCTTTTGCACAGAGGAGTCTTTGCGCGGAAAAACTTTTATACGCAGAAGCTTTTACACAGAAATATTTTTACACAGAGGAGCTTCTACAGAGGAGCTTTACACACAAGCTTTTACACAGAGGGGCCCTGACACACAGACGCGTTTACACACAGAAGCATTTAAACAAAGACGCCTTTACACAGAGAAGCCTTTAGACTCTAGACAGAGAATTCTTTACACAGAGGAGGGTTTACGCACCGACGCTTTTACACAGAGAAGTTTTTGCACAGAGAAGCCTTTACACAGAGGAACCTTTGCACAGAGGAGCTTTGACACACAGGCGCATTTACACACAGAACACAAGCCTTTATACGCAGAGCTTTTACACAGACGTGTTTAGACACAGAAGCTTTTACACACAGAAACCTTTACACAGAGGAGCTTTCACACACAGACGCCTTTACACAGAGAAGCTTTTACACAGAGAAGTCTTTACACAGAGGAGCTTTTACACACAACACTGGATACCCAGTAGAAATTTCAGATGGATAGGTATGATATTCGGCTATGGCTCCAAATCCTGATACCTAGTGAACCTCTGAATAGCTGGTAAATAGATGTTGCTCCCTTTTTTTTCAAAGGATAGTGGTTGTACCACGGATACAATGCGGATTCAACTCGAAGTTGCTCCTTGCTTCTCCATTCCGAAATATGGCTGGATATCCTTTGCTCCAGCCATTTTTTACTGGAAACTCATCTTCCAACCCGTCATGTGGCATGATCTATGTCAATTTGGGGAATGGATGGGACTGGCCACAAAGTTGGGGTGCAGCTTGGAGACTGGCCTCCTGGTCAACTGGCCAAGGCGAGACTTCCCCTGCGCAAGAGTCTTGGCCATCACAAGCCGTACCACTATGTCAGCATGAGTTATCGCACCATTTCTAGTACCAACATGTACCAACTAACAACCAATTTAATTGGCTGAGTTTAATTACAATAAGCTTAATGCTAACCCTCCCAGGTTCGGCCCGTAGCCATGTATGATGATGCATGATCGCGAACCCTCTGCGTTCACACTGCACTCAAAACTCAAAAAATGATCAAAATACTTCGATGATCTTCGATGTATTGGTACATCTTCCAGATTTCGGGAGCAATCGGAAACAATTTCTCGCCTGCAGCCTGCAGGAAGATGATTGATATAACAAAGCCTTCGGCACGACGATGACGCCTGGCGTGCTGACGCTGCGAAGGTCAATGGAAGGTGCTGTCCGAAAACTCACCGTACGCAAGCTTTGAAATGCCAGATAATGCCAGCGATGTCTATCCGCAGCAAATATAACGAACTATATATCCAACTGTGGTATGAATATAATCGTGTCATGAGCAATTATAATGGATAGCGATGGCCACCAAACAGCATCCAAACAATGCACATTCACTCTGCTTCACTCTGCTTGGTGCGATTCCTACAAAGCAGCAAGCCAATAGCTTGCCCGATGAGTCTATAAGACATTATAAGACTATTTAAGACTCATCTGGTCTCTCCACTTGCTGCCCGAAACTATATCTCCCAGAATGTTTCTGAGGCAAGATCTGCCAAACTCCCAAATTTGGATACTATCAACTTAGTGCAAAAGAAACCCGTGTTTCTCTCAGAATTCCATTGAAACCTAGTGGCTGCCTTTTCGAATGCGCGCGGTATCATTTTGAAATGTCCCAGGTGCCAGCAGGGGTGTCAACAGCAATAGTCAGGATATTGAATGATACTTCAGCATACTTCAGCATACTTAAAGTACAGTGAGAACTTGGCTTTCCGAAATTTTCCAAAAATGGGCTACTCCTAAATCAACCAAGTCATTATTAATGCATGACTTAGTATTGAAACAACTCTGCTCTTGGCATCGTAAGAAACCAGCGGGGGTTTGGGGTCAATGGGACGAATTCTCATCTGGAAGAAATTCTGGTGTTTCACGGTATCTATTGGCTATTGGATGTTATTGTTCATGGTTGGTATTGGTTGGATAGTGGCGGATTCACCAGGACTTTGTGCCACTGCTGAATCGAGCACCGGAAGCACTGCAGTTCAAAGGACCCTGTGAGCGCCGTGATGGCGCGGACGAGCGCGCGGACGGATCTCCGAGCCTCAGGCGCGCCGCCGAAGGAGACAGAGGATGCTAAGCTGGAAGATGCTGGAAGTCATGTCTCAAAGCTCTCGGCCTCCCAATGCGCCCTGTCCAGCACAGTCTACTTGGCTTTCTTCAACTCTCAACAGCTCCAAGGATTCCAGGGTCATCTGCTAGCGAGCGCAAGTCGCTGGTGGCCGAGACGGGAAACCAGCCGCAGTTGCTGGGTCGATGCAACTCGTTGCCGTAGAAAAATTATTCTTCGAGGCAGACCGCCACCAAGACCGTCCCTTTCACCATTGAAAGATACCCCGAATCCGCGGCGCCTCCATCGATGGTTCGAGTCAAGACTCGAAAACATGGACAATCGACGATTTCGACCATCTCTGGAGACGTGTCGCTGATCTGACGGGTGCTGCAGGTGCTCTTCTCCAAGATCGCCTTCTGACCGCGCAAACTCTCGATGTCCTTTCTGATCTCTTCATTCTTTGCTGTTTGGCAGCGAAACTGATCTTGATGCTGGCCGACTTCATCTCGGGTCTTTCCCAAATCTGCCATGACATCCATAGCACGTTTCACCCGATCTTTGTTCATCTCAAGCATCTGCTTTTCCAATGCCATGCTCTGTAGCCTGGCATTAGCCCAGAACCCCTCCATCTGCAGCGCCGCGGCAAGACTCACCCCTGGAACTGGGGCTGCTTTGGGAACTGGAACTGGGTCAGACATGGCCGGTGCCGGTCTTTGCGGCAAAACCTGAGTCGAATATAGTAAAATGCAGCAACAATATGCAAAAATGTGGTAGACCTATGTAAACCTATGTAAATCCATGAAAAGCTCTTGTTTCTTGTGGCTTTTGGATGCTTCGGGATGCCATAATTGATTCTGCAGAAACCATGTGCTCTGCAGATCGAACGCAAATCCTACGGATCAACCAGGCATCACATGGCTTTTGTCATTGATGCATCTGACTTGTCTGCCTGCTCGAAGCACCCGTGGCTATGACAGAGACCAAACATGACCGAACATGACCGAGCCAGGTGTTTGCAGGGACGGTCCCAAACAGATTCTGACACCGCTTCTCAGCCTCATCATCTTTTCAGCACCCAGCGAGATGTGTTTCTTGCATGTTGCAACATTGTGGAACACGGCAAGAAAGAACCATGATAAAAGTGGATAAGAGTGGATAAGAGCTCTGCTTGTGCTCTGGAGTCAACTGAACAGTGTTGTAGCTATAGCAGCTACACTTCATTCAGCCCCACCTCGGCTCGCAAGGTGCGTTACCAGCTTCGCCACCCGCACTTGGCGGATCTGCAGCTGTTTCTGATTTGGACAGATGCAATACCAATATGAAATTGTACATAATAATGCTACTCACCTAGGTGCTTGATCACAGAAGAATCACAAAATCTCAGGTGTCTTGGAATTCGGAAGCCTCCAAATTTGAGAAACATGCTAAACAAGACCCAAATATCCCAAATTAAACACAAGTGAGACCTAAAACCTTATATGTAGTTCAGGCAACTCAAAAATCCGAAAATCTCTCAGCAACCGCAGAACTGGTCGCAAGTGAGCAACAGAAACCCCTCGGACGTGACCTTGATAATGCAGTAAGGCACGTCCTATGACGGAGAGGGCTGTGCATGCCAGAGATTCCATAGATATCCATATCATCTGCAAGGGGAAACCAATCTGAACCATCCATCAGCCCAGCTTTCAGATTCGGTTGGATCTTATCATCTGGGCCTCGTCTTCGACAACTTTCAGCTCCTACTCTGATTCCATTCCTCCATTATCTCCATTCCATCAATGTCCAGAAATAGGGTACACCATTCCGTCTTTAGTTTGTCATCACTTCTCCCATCACCCCCTGTCCTTCCGTCCTTCTTGCGGCACAGGACCGGCAGCCAGCAGATGAGCTCAATGGCTCCACATCGTGAGCAATGATCACCTTGAAAACCGACCAAGGAACCCTGAAACTGTCCATCTTTGGGGATACTAAATGGGAGCTGGATACAATGGGGGACTCTCTTAACCATCAGTTTCCTCATGGAAGCATGCCAAGTTTGGATTATTTTTTGGGAGACCATGAAGTCTGATGTCAAACAAACATGACACTCTGAAAATCCTGGTATTGCCACCATGTAGTAGATTGTGAGCAAACATGTCTGCATCATTTCAAACTTGCAATCCTTGGCCTTGCAGTCTCGTTTGGAGGGTTTGAATTTGATCCCAGCCATGCATAGGACGAATGGTCAGGCGTTTCTCTGAAGCCAATGGAGACAGTCTTCTCTATCTCTTAAGGGCCTCCTTTTCATTTTTTGCCAAAATGTAGGCCCTATAGGCTAGTCTGTCTGCAAAATGGGCTGCCGCCGAATTCCGATGGGTTTTCATGTGGCTTTCCCCACAAACCACAATTTGGGGTTCACACAGAGCCGATATGATACATCAAGTCCATACTTCTTATGGTTCAATTGTACAAATCCCCAATTTTGCTGGCGAAGTCCCCTAGTTTTGATGGCAAAAACCAGACAGTTCAACAGCCCTGCAGGGCCCCTCACCAGCTTTGCTAGCTTGCTCTCCACCAGGGTGGTCGCGTGGTTCAGGGCATGCTTCAGCACCTGGGGTGGAACAAGTGCAGTTGGAATCCAAATAGGATCGCTGGACAGCTTAAGATTGGGAGTGTGGGGAGTTTTGGTGGCCTTCCCAATGGAAAAACACTGATGAGCTGTTGTAGTTTACTGTAATTCAGCAATTTCCCACTCAAGGCCTACTCGTTTCGCTTCGTGACATCATGACAAAGGAGAAAAACTTTAAAAAAACCTGCACCTAAAGTCAAGGCCCCGCCAAACACGATGTCATATCAGACTCCAGAAGTAACAAACACATTTCAGCATGCAATCACCATAATCACCTTGAGTTTCATACCTTGCCCCTAAGGTCCAAGCCTTTGCCACCCTGAATCCCAAGCAACTGCCAGTGCAATGCCGGTCAAGGCGAATGAGAAACGTGTGGGAAAACACCCGGGGCTCAGATTGGAAAGTGACATCACTGGCATCACTGGCATCACTGGCATCACTGGCATCACTGGCATCACTGGCATCGCCATGGCATCACTGCATGGCATCACTGGCATCACTGCATGGCATCACTGGCATCACTGGCATCACTGGCATCACTGGCATCACTGGCATCACTGGCATCACTGGCATCGCCATGGCATCACTGCATGGCATCACTGGCATCACTGGCATCACTGGCATCACTGGCATCACTGGCATCACTGGCATCACTGGCATCACTGGCATCACTGGCATCACTGGCATCACTGGCATCACTGGCATCACTGGCATCACTGGCATCACTGGCATCACTGGCATCACTGGCATCACTGGCATCACTGGCATCACTGGCATCACACTGGCATCACTGGCATCACTGGCATCACTGGCATCACTGGCATCACTGGCATCACTGGCATCACTGGCATCACTGGCATCACTGGCATCACTGGCATCACTGGCATCACTGGCATCACTGGCATCACTGGCATCACTGGCATCACTGGCATCACTGGCATCACTGGCATCACTGGCATCACTGGCATCACTGGCATCACTGGCATCCATGGCATCACTGGCATCACTGGCATCACTGGCATCACTGGCATCACTGGCATCACTGGCATCACTGGCATTCAAAATCTGTGAAGCTTCACAAAGCACAAGAGGCCAATTTTGAGGCTTTCACTAGCTGTAGGAAGTATTGCAAAGCAAGGCTTGCATTTGCAAGACTTCCTGCACACCTAGGGAAGCAGGAAATGCACAACAGTCACAACAGTGCACTTGCAGCCAATGTATATTTCAGTTCAAACTCTGGCACCACTCCACAACACAACCTCCAGGGGCCGGGCTTGGTGATGCATGGCACAGCAGTTAAATATGATTCCAGCCATACAGCGGGTTTCCAAGTGTTTCCAGTGTTTCCACTTGGAAACCCGCTGGCTGGCTGGAATCCTGTTCCTTAAATGAAAATTCCATTCGCTAAAGAAATTGTAGAAAATCTAGTTTGGTCAGCATGAGCAGGAACCATGGAGGCATGGAGGGAACGGTCACCGCTCTGGAATCCGAAGATGTAAACCACTTCAGTTCGTCTTGAAAGGTTTTTGAGCCACAAAATTACGAAACACCCAACCAAGGCAGCATTCCAGGTTCAAACATTCAGGGTTTAAACAGAAAGGAAAAACACGCGAGAAATCGACTTTTTCGACTGCTCTGTGCATTTCGCAGTGACAGCGTTCTGTGCGCAGGAAAGTACTCACTCAGCGCTACCTGAGTAGGTGATTCCATGAAAACGCGCAGTGATCAGCATACAATTCCAAAGAAACAACGGGAACGAATGTGGATTTTCCATGATTTTCTATATTTTCTTGCTTTTCAACAGTCTACTCTCCCGTCTCTCGCATTGTAAACTTCGTTCAAGGCAGTGAAGACATCTTGTGAAGGTAACAGAAGTCGAACATAGACGTCCTGTAAAGGTTTATCAACATCACTAATCGGATATGGGGTCCAATGTGAATGCCTCTTCTGTAATGCCCACGCTTCCAGGATTCAGAAGGGAGGCGATGGAAAACACTACAACTACAATTTCTTTTATTCCCCACACCTTTGTGTGGAGTTCTTGTTTCTGGTTGTGACCTTCCGCTCTGCCCGCCCGCTTCCCGCCTCCCGCCCGCCGCCCACAACTTCTCACCACACAATTTGTTCACACACAACTTACTCACACAACTTGTCACCGCACAATTTACTCACACACAACTTGTCCACACACAACTTGTCACCACACAACTTTCTCACACACAACTTGTCCACACACAACTTGTCACCACACAACTTACTCACACACAACTTGTCCACACACAATTTGCTCACACACAACTTACTCACACACAACTTGTCCACACACAACTTGTCACCACACAACTTGTCCACACACAACTTGTCACCACACAATTTACTCACACACAACCTGTCCACACACAATTTTCTCACACACAACTTACTCACACACAACTTGTCCACACACAACTTGTCACCACACAACTTATCCACACACAACTTACTCCCACACAACTCCTCCACACACAACTTGCCAACACACAACTTACTCACACACAACTTGTCACCACCCAACTTGCTCACACACAACTTACTCACACACACAACTTGTCACCGCACAATTTACTCACACACAACTTGTCCACACACAATTTGCTCACGCACAACTTACTCACACACACAACTTGTCCACACACAACTTGTCACCACACAACTTATCCGCGCACAACTTACTCACACACAACTTCTCCACACACAACTTGCCAACACACAACTTACTCACACACTATTTGTCACCACACAACTTGTCACCACACAACTTACTCACACACGCAACTTGTCACCGCACAACTTACTCACACACAACTTGTCCACACACAACTTGTCACCACACAACTTACTCACACACAACTTACTCCCACACAACTTCTCCACACACAACTTTCTCACACACAACTTGTCCACACACAACTTACTCCCACACAACTTGCTCACACACAACTTGTCACACACAACTTGTCCACACACAACTTGCTCACACACAACTTGTCCACACACAACTTGTCCACACCCAACTTGACGACATCTGCCTTCACTTTGCCGCGTGTCAGGCATGGCACTTATGGCGCCGCAGCTGTTTGCGTGGCAGGCGTGGCACTTGGCAACATCGACCTCCACTTTGCGTGGCAGGCGTGGCACTTTTGGCACTGGACTGGTGGCGCGCTTGGGTACTTTGGTCGCCGCGACTGTTTGCAGGCCAGGCGTAGCACTTGGCGACATCGACTGCATTCTGCGTGGCGTGGCACTTATGGCACTGGACTCGCTCTGGCGGCGCCCTTGGGTACTTTGGTCGCCGCGGCTGTTTGCGTGGCAGGCGTGGCACTTGGCGACATCGACCGTCACTTTGCGTGGCAGGCGTGGCACTTGGCGACATCTACGTGCATTCTGCGGGGCAGGCATGGCACTTCTGTCACTGGACTGGGAGTGGTGGCGCGCTTGGTACTTTGGTCGCCGCGGCTGTTTGCATGCCAGGTGTGGCACTTGGTGACATCGACTGTGGCAGGCCTGGCACTTGGCCACATCGATGTGCATTCTGCGTGGCAGGCGTGGCACTTGGTGACATCGACCTTCACTTTGCGTGGCAGGCGTGGCACTTATGGCACTGGACTGGCACTGGCGGCGCGCTTGGCTACTTAGCTGTTTGCGTGGCAGGCGTGAGCTTGGCGACATCGACCGTCACTTTGCGTGGAAGGCGTGGCACTGGGCGACATCGATGTGCATTCTGCGTCGCAGGCGTGGCACTTCTGGCACTGGACTGGTGGCGCCCTTGGGTACTTTGGTCGCGGCGGCTGTTTGCGTGCCAGGCGTGGCACTTGGCGACATTGACGCGCATGCTGCGTGGCAAGCGTGGCATTTACGGCATCACATCACAAATTACTGCCGACATCGACGTGCATTCTGCGTGGCAGGTGTGGCATTTTACGGCATCACATCACCATTAGCTTGGCGACATCGACGTGCATTCTGCCTGGCAGGCGTGCCATTTATGGCATCACGTCACAACATTCTGAGTGGCAAGGTGGCACTTGGCGAACTACCACTACCACTACCACTACCACTACCACTACTAGTACTACTACTACTACTCCTCCTCCTCCTACTACTACTACTACTACTACTGTTACTACTACTACTACTACTACGACTACTACGACTACGACTACGACTACGACTACGACTACGACTACTACTACGACTACTACTACGACTACTACTACTACTACTACTGTTACTACTACTGTTACTACTACTGCTACTACTACTCCTACTACTCCTACTACTCCTACTACTCCTACTACTCCTACTACTCCTACTCCTCCTACTCCTCCTACTCCTCCTACTCCTCCTACTCCTCCTACTCCTCCTACTCCTCCTACTCCTCCTACTCCTACTCCTACTACTCCTACTACTCCTACTACTCCTACTACTCCTACTACTCCTACTAGTCCTACTACTCCTACTACTCCTACTACTCCTACTACTCCTACTACTCCTACTACTCCTACTACTCCTACTACTCCTACTACTCCTACTACTCCTACTACTACTACTACTGCTACTACTGCTACTACTGCTACTACTGCTACTACTGCTACTACTGCTACTACTGCTACTACTGCTACTACTGGCTACTACTGGCTACTACTGGCTACTACTGGCTACTACTGGCTACTACTTGCTACTACTTGCTACTACTTGCTACTACTACTACTTGCTACTACTTGCTACTACTTGCTACTACTACTACTTGCTACTACTTGCTACTACTTGCCACTACTTGCCACTACTTGCCACTACTTGCCACTACTTACCACTACTTACCACTACTTACCACTACTTACCACTACTTACCACTACTTACCACTACTTACTACTACTTACTACTACTTACTACTACTTACTACTACTTACTACTACTTACTACTACTTACTACTACTTACTACTACTTACTACTACTTACTACTACTTACTACTACTTTCTACTACTTTCTACTACTTTCTACTACTACTACTACTACTACTACCACTACTACCACTACTACCACTACTACCACTACTACCACTACTACCACTACCACCACTACCACCACTACCACCACTACCACCACTACCACTACTACCACTACTACCACTACTACCACTACTACCACTACTACCACTACTACCACTACTACCACTACCACCACGACCACCACGACCACCACTACCACCACTACCACCACGACCACCACTACCACCACTACCACCACTACCACCACTACCACTACTACTACTACTACTACTACTACGACTACTTCTACTACGACTACTACCACGACGACTACCACTACCACTACCACTACCACTACCACTACCACTACCACTACCACTACCACTACCACTACCACTACCACTACCACTACCACTACCACTACCACTACTACTACTACTACTACTAGTACGCTACTGCTACTGCTACTACTACTACTAGTACTAGTACTACTACTAGACTACTACGACTACTACTGCTACTACTACTACTACGACTACTACGACTACTACGACTACTACGACTACTACGACTACTACGACTGCTACGACTACTACGACTACTACGACTACTACGACTACTACGACTACTACGACTACTACGACTACTACGACTACTACGACTACTACGACTACTACGACTACGAGTACGACTACGAGTACGACTACGAGTACGACTACTACTACTACTACTTCTACTACTACTTCTACTACTACTACTACTACTACTACTACTTTTACTACCACTACTACCACCACCACCACTACTACTTCTTCTACTACTTCTAATTCTACTACTACTACTACTACTATTACTACCACTACTACCACCACCACCACTACTACTTCTTCTACTACTTCTAATTCTACTTCTACTACTTCTACTTCTACTTTTACGGGCAGGACTGAGGGTTGTCCTGGAATGGTCGTATGAACATCAGTGGGAGACTGATTTCTCTGCGCAGGCGCGATGTTTTATGACCCTGGTACATCTGTGGGTTAGCGTGGTCTAAGACGAATTTGTGGGAAAATCCGTCAGAAAAGTGAACCCTCTGCGGACTTCACGCGTTTCGGCCACTTCCACTTTTTCGATCTTTTTCACTTTTTTGGCGAGTCCGGATTTTATAACGTATGTAAACCCTGAATGAAACACCTAATAGAAGTATGCATAAGTCGTCACTGTTGTTATGACAAGGAAATCCCCTGGCACTGGGATGATGGAAACAATGGGTTGCTAACTCCGCTCTCGGGTATGAACCTCCGGGCCATACCCTCGTAGGATGCTGTGGGTGCTTCGACAACGACGACTACTACGACGACTACTATACAACTACGACTGCAACTACGATGGCGACGGCGATGACGACGACGTCGACGACAACGGCGACGGCGACGGCGACGGCGGCGACGGCCACGACGACGAGGACTACTACGACGACTACAACTACGACTACGACTGCAACTAGGACTACGACTACCACTACGACTAGGACAACAACAACAACAACAACATCAACTACGACGAGGACGACGGCGATAATGATGATGATGATGATGATGACGACGACAACGACGACGAGGACTACTACAACTATACTACAGCTTCTACAGCTACCACAGCTACTACTACATCTACTACAGCTTTTACAGCTGTTACGGCGCTCTGCCATCCATGCATCACAACAATTCACCTCTTCTATTGTTTTCTATCTTTGAAACTTCCGCCACCGCCTTGTGCGGTACTACTGGTACAACTATACCCAAGGTATGATTTCATCACAGTCACCGAATCATCGCAGGACATGCATTCCACCATGGTGCAAATGTGCCAGGTTTCTGCTGAGGCACTGAGACTCTTCGAGAAAAGCATCCCAATCAATGCGATACTTCGGATCATTGGGATCCGGATATGCCCTAGGCATTGCACGGACAACCAGCTGTGAAAGTGTGCAAAGCAGTCTGAAAAAGAAACCGGTGTAAAACTCACTGGGAAGAACGTTTAATCCCAAAAAAACTGTTCGGTAAATTGGGTATCGGCCGATCCCCGGGACGGACTTGTTCAGCAACTTGAGGCTCGAACGAATTTGTGTTTTTTGGCGAAGATTCGCGCTGTTCTGCCCATGAATTCCATGATGACCACCTCAGAACATTGATCACCCAAGCTCATTTGGGACCACTTGTCCCAAACAATGTCATTGCCAAAAGGGCAGCAGCCTGAACATGAGTGTTACATCGACATTTGCTACAAATTTCCATTGTTTTGGATATTCGAGCCAATACAACAAAAAGCAAAAAATGCTTCGATATAGGCACGAAACCACCCGGTGAGTATGATGATGACCAAAAACAGCGGCTCTTCTTAGAATGCGACAACAGGTATGAACATATAGACTTTAAAACACTTGTTTTTTACATGCATGTGCATGTATAGAAGTTTCACAAGCCAAGACAAAGGCAACATGATGCAACTAAAAAGCCAGAAGGTGCCATAAGTAACAACACCACGTGCTCGATTGTGTTCATTGCGACATGCAATAAATCTTCAGTGGGCTATCTTCCCATTGGTACATGAAAACCTTTACACGCCAAAAGGTTAAAAATATAAGGGTAGGAAATTGTTTGGGGAATTATTTTTTTTTAGTTTGGGGATTTTTTTTTGGATTTCCGGTTCTCACCATTTTCCATGCTATTTGCAGCATTTTGGAGCTGGAAACTGCCATTTCCACGGTATGTGCAACGGTTTTGAGTTCGAACCTCTCATTTTCCATTGTATTTTCCACGGTATTTGCAACAGTTTGCAGCATGTTCTGTCCATTTTCCATGCTCTTTGCAGCATTTTTGAGCTGGAATCTGCATTTCCACCGTATGTGCAACATTTTACAGCTACATTCCTCACAGTACTTGCAGGATTTTGGAGCTGAAGGCTGACATTCCAACAGTTGTTTGTTGTTACTGTTACTGTTGTTGGTGTTGGTGTTGTTGTTGTTGGTGGTATTGTTGTTGTTGGTGGTGGTGGTGGTGGTCGTGTTGTTGCTGTTGTTGTTGCTGTTGTTAGTGTTAATGTTAGTGTTGTTAGTGTTGTTAGTGTTGTTAGTGTTGTTAGTGTTGTGTTAGTGTTGTGTTAGTGTTGTGTTAGTGTTGTGTTAGTGTTGTGTTAGTGTTGTTGTTGTTGGTGGTGGTGGTGGTGTTGTTGTTGTTGGTGGTGGTGGTGTTGTTGTTGTTGTTGTCGTTGTCGTTGTCGTTGTTGTTGTTGTTGTTGTTGGTGGTGGTGGTGGTGGTGTTGGTGTTGGTGTTGTTGTTGTTGTTGTTGTTGGTGTTGGTGTTGGTGTTGTTGTTGTTGTTGTTGGTGTTGGTGTTGTTGTTGTTGTTGTTGTTTAGTGGTGTTGTTGTTGCTGTTGTTAGTGTTGTTGTTTAGTGGTGTTGTTGTTGTTGCTGTTGTTAGTGTTGTTGTTGTTGTTACCGTTAGTGTTGTTAGTGTTGCTAATGTTAGTGTTGTTAGTGTTGTTAGTGTTGTTAGTGTTGTGTTAGTGTTGTTGTTGTTGTTGCTGTTGTTGTTGTTGGTGGTGGTGGTGGTGTTGTTGTTGTTGCTGTTGTTGTTGTTGGTGGTGGTGGTGTTGCTGGCGGTTGTGTTTGTGTTGATAGTGTTGTTATTGTTGTCGTTGTCGTTGTCGTTGTCGTTGTTGTGGTTGTCGTTGTCGTTGTCGTTGTCGTTGTGGTTGTTGTTGTTGTTGTTGTTGGTGTTGGTGTTGGTGTTGGTGTTGGTGTTGGTGTTGGTGTTGGTGTTGGTGTTGGTGTTGGTGTTGGTGTTGTTGTTGTTGTTGTTGTTGGTGGTGTTGGTGTTGTTGTTGTTGATGTTGCTCCACACCTCATGGAAAAGCAAAAAAAGCAAAGAAAAGCAAAAAAGCAAAAAAGCAAAGAAAAGCAAGAAAAGCGAGAAAAGCAAAAAAGCAAAAAAGCAAAGAAAAGCAAAGAAAAGCAAGGGAAGCAAAAAAGCAAAAAAGCAAAGAAAAGCAAGAAAAGCAAAAAAGCAAAGAAAAGCAGAAAAGCGAGAAAAGCAAAAAAGCAAAAAAGCAAAGAAAAGCAAAGAACAGCAAGGGAAGCAAAAAAGCAAAAAAGCAAAGAAAAGCAAGAAAAGCAAAAAAAGGAATAGAAGCAAAGAAGCAGAGAAGCACTGCAGGAGGCAATAGAGTAAGCAGGAAGAAATCCAAAAAAAAATCCCTAAACTAAAAAAAAAAATCCCTAAATAAATGGCCCTCCAAAATATAAACTCAGGTGCTACCCCCAACAGCTTGAAAGTGTCTGCTTACGCTTTGTTTCTTTTCTTCACAGCATGAGACCTTGCAACGCTGTCATCAAACAAGTGAATTCATACACTCGCAGTCATGTTGGATTGTATGCTGTTACTAACTCTAGTAGTCATGTGATTTTCACGATGACATCATGGGCACATTGCCATACTACACATACAATCATACAGATACAATCAAACACATACAAGCATGCAATGGCGCTGCACAATGGTAAAGGAACCAGGGCCAGGAACCTCAACATGTATCTGCACAGGAACCTTCCAGAAGCTGAACAGGCATCTGCACCGGAACCCTCCAGAACCGCGACTGGTATCTGCATCGGAACCCTCCGGAACCTCACCTGGTATCTCAACCAACATGAGCTGATACAAACGCCATCATGTTGGATGACACCCTGTTACTCACTGTATATGATCTTGTGTTCCTCATCATGACATCATGCGCACATTGCTGAACAATCGTACACGTACAATCATACAATCATACACATACAAGCATGCACATAAACCATGTAATGATGTTGCACACAGGTATGTGAGTGTATGTGACGCATTCCCATGAAAAGTAGACCAAACACATAATCTGCAAGTGTTCGCGTTGCGCACTTTTATGTTCATAATTCGGTCCTGCTGTTGACAAAATTGTTTTTAAATCTACGGCAAGCAACCAACATGTACGCAATGCTTGTGCATTGCACGTTCTTATTCACTGTACATGGTCTTGTGATCGTCATGAAAACATCATACGCACATTGTCATACAATCATACACGTCATACACATACATACAATCATACATATACAACCATGCAATCATGCTGCACGCTAGAAAATGAATCAGGGCCCTGGGAAGCATTGTCCACATACAATGTGCAAGTGCTCAAGGTGTCTACTTAGGTGTTGGTGTGTTCATTCCTGCATGTAACAGAATTGCTTATGGATCTTCGGCAAGCAACCAACATGAACTGAAACAGACGCAATCATGTTGGATGACGATGGTTACTACCTGTATGTGGTCTTTTGGTCATAACATGATGCGCACACTGTCATACAATCATACGATCATACACAAACAATCATGCAGTGCCGCGTAAAGTTACAAATTCCAGCGGCCTGGTTCTGCGCTATCATTTTGAAACGTGGTTGGCTTCCAAGGTGCCAAAAACATCGGTACCCATTGCGTTTTTAGTCCCAAAAGCTTTCAAATTTTTGCAAAAACATCGACAATCTTGACAATTCTCAAGGCCACAGCAATTCCAGCAACAACACCAGCCACTGTTGAAACGACACTCTAGCCACTACTCTCAGTTCAGATTCAATGACAACCAACCGTGAAAGAGTATGCAGCCAAACTGTCGCAAAGAATGATGCGTTCGCGGTTCGCATCTGGTGACAGCGTGCCTTGTATTGCCTTGCATCTCTGCCTTGCATTGCTTGTCGAATACCTTTCTGAAGTTCCACGATCTGAGGCTCCCGCCAGTCCCGGTTCGAACCTGTTGCCCGGGATCGATGCTCGCTCCACTTCTCCTCTTTTTTGTCCTGCCACTGCCACCTCAGAAAATCAATACGGCTGATCGCACATCGAAAAGGCCTTAGGGCTTAGCTGGGAAGAATCAATATTGAAGAGATGAGAAGTAGCAAGACTGATGGAGCAGAACATAGAACACTTGAACTTCATTGAATTTCCTTCAATTTCTGCAATTTGGTTTACGCATGTTTACGCCTCCTAAGGTGATTAAGCAGCCCATGCTTGTTAACAGCTCTGACGACATTGTGAAGAAAGCGCCCCAGTGTGAAAGGTGATGAACTGCAGCAGTGCAGGATCAAACATCTGGATGTTGCCATATTCCCCTTATCTTTTAATGTTTCGGGATTTGATCTGGCACTTGATCTTACAGTGTATCTGGCATAGTGCTCATGTCTGGCAAGCCCAAGAGAGTCTGCGAGCTTACGATGGTGTTCGGGTCCGGTGAGCCCTGCAAAAGCTGCTTGTTGTATCACAGCGGTGCAGCGCAGGCGCAGAGGCGCAGAGAAGGCGCCAAAAAAGGCGTGGAGGAGCAAAGACTGGAGCAGACTGACGTGTTCAAGAAACTTTCCTGGCAAATGAAAACAACCAAAAATAAGCTTCGGTGGTACCGCCAACAGCCGCAACGTTTATTTTTACAGATCTTTCTGGAAAAACGAACTTCTCCGGAACCTTCTCTGCAAGCTTTCCGAACTTTCTCGGAACCTTCTCGGAACCTTCTCCGAAACCCGTTTGAACCTGACCTGCATGGCTCTGCACCAATGGAACCTTCTCGGGAACCTTCTCCGGGTTGAGCCTGACCTGGCTCTGCACTAAAGCCTGCCACACCTTCTCCGGAACCTTCTCCCAAACCTTCTCCGGAACGTTCTCGACCTGGCTTTGGACCAAAGCCTCCTAGACCTTCTCCGGCTCTGCACCAAAGCCTTCCAGACATTCTCTGGGACCTTCTTAAGGAACCCTGTTGAACTTGACCTGGCTCCGCACCAAAGGGAAAAGACAAACTTCAACGAAACCACTGTTGAAACTACACTCTAGCCACTACTCTCAGTTCAGATTCAATGACAACCAACCGTGAAAGAGTATGCAGCCAAACTGTCGCAAAGAACGATGCGTTCGCGTTTCGCATCTGGTGACAGCGTGCCTTGTATTGCCTTGCATCTCTGCCTTGCATTGCTTGTCGAATACCTTTCTGAAGTTCCACGATCTGAGGCTCCCGCCAGTCCCGGTTCGAACCTGTTGCCCGGGATCGATGCTCGCTCCACTTCTCTTCTTTTGTGTCCTGCCACTGCCACCTCAGAAAATCAATACGGCTGATCGCACATCGAAAAGGCCTTAGGGCTTAGCTGGGAAGAATCAATATTGAAGAGATGAGAAGTAGCAAGACTGATGGAGCAGACCATAGAACACTTGAACTTCATTGAATTTCCTTCAATTTCTGCAATTTGGCTTACGCATGTTTACGCCTCCTAAAGTGATTAAGCAGCCCATGCTTGTTAACAGCTCTGACGACATTGTGAAGAAAGCGCCACAGTGCGAAAGGTGATGAACTGCAGCAGTGCAGGATCAAACATCTGGATGTTGCCATATTCCCCTTATCTTTAATGCTTCGAATTTCGACATTTGATCTGGCACTTGATCTTACATTGTATCTGGTATAGTGCTCATGTCTGGCAAGCCCAAGAGAGTCTGCGAGCTTACGATGGTGTTCGTGTCCGGTGAGCCCTGCAGAAGCTGCTTGTTGTATCACAGCGGTGCAGCGCAGGCGCAGAGGCGCAGAGAAGGCGCCAAAAAAGGCGTGGAGGAGCAAAGACTGGAGCAGACTGACGTTTTCAAGAAACTTTCCTGGCAAATGAAAACAACCAAAAATAAGCTTCGGTGGTACTGCCAAGAGCCGCAACGTTTATTTTTACAGATCTTTCTGAAGCGTGCACATGCACGAAAACAAAAAAAGGGGAAAAACGAACTTCTCCGGAACCTTCTCTGCAACCTTCTCCGGAACCTTCTCCGAAACATTCTCTGCAACCTTCTCCGGAATCCGTTGAATCCTGGCCTGGCTTTGCACCAAAGCTGCCTGGAACCTTCTCCGGAACGTTCTCCGGAACCCTGTTGAACCTGACCTGGCTCTGCACCAAAGCCTTCTGGAACCTTCTCCAGAACCTTCTTCGGAACCCTGTTGAACCTGACCTGGCTTTGCACCAAAGCCTCCCAGACTCCCAAACCTTCTCCGGAACCTTCTCCGGAACTTTCTCCGGAACTCTGTTGATCCTGACCTGGCTCTGCACCAAAGCCTCCCCGACCTTCTCCGGAACCTTCTTTGGAACCCTGTTGAACCTCACCTGGCTTTGCACCAAAGCCTCCCAGAGCTTCTCCGGAACCTTCTCCGGAACCCTGTTGAACCAAACCTGGCTCTGCACTGAAGCTTCCCGGACTTTCTCGGAACCTTCTCGGAACTTTCTCCGAAACCCGGTTGAACCTGACCTGGCTCTGCACCAACGGAACCTTCTCGGGAACCTTCTCCGGGTTGAGCCTGACCTGGCTCTGAACTAAAGCCTGCCACACCTTCTCCGGAACCTTCTCGACCTGGCTTTGGACCAAAGCCTCCTAGACTTTCTCCGGCTCTGCACCAAAGCCTTCCAGACCTTCTCTGGGACCTTCTTAAGGAACCCTGTTGAACCTGACCTGGCTCCGCACCAAGCTTCCCCGAACCTTCTACGGAACCCTGTTGAACCTGACCTGGCCTGGCTCTGCAACAAAGCCTCCCCGACCTTCTGCGGAACCTTCTCTGAGAACTTTCTCCGGAACCCTGTTGAACCTGACTTGGCTTTGCACCATGCAAGGCTTCCTGGAACCTTCTCCGGAACCTTCTCCGGAACCCTGAACCTGACGGGGCTCTGCACCGGAGGCCTCCCAGACCTTCTCCGGAAACTTCGGAGCCTCGTTTAACCTGACCCGGCGCCTGCACCAGTGCACACCGGAGCTTTTCTGGGGTGAAGACCCCATTAGCTTACGCGGTTCAGATTCAATGACAACCAACCGTGAAAGAGTATGCAGCCAAACTGTCGCAAAGAACGATGCGTTCGCGTTTCGCATCTGGTGACAGCGTGCCTTGTATTGCCTTGCATCTCTGCCTTGCATTGCTTGTCGAATACCTTTCTGAAGTTCCACGATCTGAGGCTCCCGCCAGTCCCGGTTCGAACCTGTTGCCCGGGATCGATGCTCGCTCCACTTCTCTTCTTTTTTGTCCTGCCACTGCCACCTCAGGAAATCAATACGGCTGATCGCACACCGAAAAGCCCTTAGGGCTAGCAGAACATATAGAACACTTGAACTTCATTGAACGTCCTTGAATTTCTACAATTTGGTTTACGCATGTTTACGCCTCCTAAGGTGATTACCAAGTGGCCCATGTTTCAAATGCTGAACTGCAGCAGTGTAGGGTCAAACATCGATGGTGCCATGCTCCCCTCACACTTTTTCGTGGCAGCACATCGTACCTTTCCAAGAAACCTGGAAATCATTTCAATCCAGTCGATGATTCAATGCTCCCTGCTCCGATCGTTGGATGTCCCAGGTTGATGTGAGCTATCGCATTAAGAGCCTGCAGATATTGTAGGGGGTCATACTACCTGGCTCCTGGTTTTACCTGCGGATCATTCCAACATATTCCAACACAGTATTGGATTCATCACCTGTTTTTTATCGCATCTGCAATCAAGAAACTGACGCCCCTTCCAAGTGCCGCTTTGGTTGTGCCAATTGTGGTATCGTGCCGTTGACTCCGCTGACTCCTGGGGCGATTTGTTGAGCTAATTTGACATGCTTTGGGCTCGGATTTTGGCACTTTGACTTGACCAAGACCACACGGTGACCCATTGTATCCGTGGATCAACAGCTGAATCAGCAGCTGCTAGGCAAGACCTTTTTCGTCTCGCCCTTGAGCCAACTTTCGTTGGCTTGAGCCATTTTGCAATGGCAGTCACGTGTCATCCTTGTGCAGTGGCCATGCTATGGTTCATGCATGCCACCACATGTCACTTTCTAAGTTTTTAAAATCCACAGCAGCTGGTGGAATGCTTCATGAATCGCACTCCCCCCCGCAGCTTGCTGCGGAACATCAAAAGTTCAGCCAAAATGGCTTTCATAGCCCGGCTCTCAGCAGTGCTTCTTATTTTAGGGCTCCTCCTCATTCACATTGGCATCATCCGACTCAGGGTCGGTCAACAAAGACCACTCTTCGACATGGGAGACGAAGGAGTCAGGGACCCTTTGACTAGAGTCTGAGCTCAAGGTGTTGGCGACGTCCCATTCCACGGTCAGAGGGACGTAGGACTTCGGCATTGAACCCAAGTCTGAACCCGTAGAGGAGGGCATAGCAGCAACCCCACGTTGTATCACACCACCACGGCTATATCCTACCGTGGGTGCTCCAGAGGTCTTGTTGTGTTGGCTGGTCGGCTCCAAGAGGGGAACCAGCCGCAGCTCAGAGGAACCACCACTTGACACGGTTCCGCTCTGACTGCTGGCCAAACAACCATCCAGGTACAAGCATCCAACCATCAAACCAGGAGCTTGTTGTGGTCGGTGACGTCGTGGCGTCTCCATTTCATAGTGCTGTCCCACGTGCACGTCTAGGTCATCATCTCTGGGCACCTCAGTCTGGGGCCATGGAGGGTCTTCTGCAGTTGCAGCCGGCTCCAGCTGGATGCTCAGGTTCATCTTTTCCATGACCTCATTGTCAGGAAGGTGTAGCCGATCCATCGTGACTCGGCTCTGACGACCGGATCGTCCCATCGGTCAGCAACCAAGAACCCCACTCCATCAGCAGGATTCACAAAAAAGGCCTTTGTGACCCTTTCACCAGTCAAGAACTGGGCTTCAATTGGTGCCGAACGGTGCAGTGGATGAAACCTCTGTCTCCTCGGTGACTTGTGTACTTTGACCAAGAAGATTTCCTCACCGCACTTCGCAACGGACCAAGAGTCCTTTTTTCCTGTGGTGTTCGGCTGGAGGTACCGACTATCCAGCCAGGGTCCATGCCTCGGCATATCGTCCAGCATGGTTCCACCAGCAGCCTTTTTAGCCATTTCTGCATCTCGACGGGCTGGAGGAAACTTCGGCAAAGCGCCGATGTAGGGTCCCCTTATTTCAGAGGAGCTTGAAGGTGCACCCATCGCCGCAGCGCATTGCAGCATCATCGGCGGCGCTTTGCGTCGCACAGCTGCAGGCTTAGGAGCAGCCTTTGGAGCAGCAAAGCCCGGCTCTTGCGGCGGCAGCGGCGGCGCAGGTTTGGACATCTTAGGGGCCATGGCAGCAAGTCGCACGGCCGGAACTTTTGGGCAGCCCGTAGGGCAGTGGTAAGTATCAGCCAACAGTGGCTGCAACAGTTCAGCATTTTCAGAGTCACCACCAACGGACTCAAAACTGTTGTGCGCCATGCCACAGCTGTTTCCTGCCACAAAATCCCCAAAAACGGGACCTTCTTCGGGGTTACTATCCCAAAAATCCCTCTGACTTTCATAGGTTCGATGAGCCCAAAATTGGTTTTTGAGGGGTTCATCCCAAACCTTCCCAAAACTGTTTTCTCCAGGTTCATCTTCCCTTGGAGATCTCACACATTTTTTGGTTTTTATTTGAGGGTTTATGCCTCCAGGTTCATTTTCCCTTGGAGGTTTTTCTTTGGCCGGTTCATCTCCCCTGGCATCTTTTTCACTTTTAAGGCCAATGGCTCTTGATGGTTTTTCCACCTCCCTCCCGTCTAAACAGATCTCTTTGGATCGATCCTCCGATGAAGGCGCAGGGTGCCAGTTGCAAGCCAGCCATCCAGCGCATGCAGCAGCAGCAGTAGCACAGGCCAGCCGCACATCAGCTCGCCGAGCTGCTGAAGACGCCACAGCCAGCGCAGCCATAGCCACGATCACCTTCACCTTGGTCACCACATCATCAGATCCCTTAGTTTCATCAGGTCCTGAAGTGGCGGTTGTTTTGGAAGACCCTTTGGAGGTTTTTTGAGGTGTATTTTCGGGGTCATATTTGGGGATTGACGCATCAACATGAAACCCAAGGAAATGCCAGAACTTAACCCAATCCCTCAACAACGTGATTGGTTTGGTGAGCATGTCAGCGGGAAGGTCAACTCCCCTTTGGTGTCTGACTTTCCATGTTTGGGGGTCACTTTTCAACAACTCACGCAAGCAAGACGAACGAAGCCTCAAATGGCGTGTTCTCCATCCACCATCAGGGTTCATAAGTATGCTAAGTGCACTTGAATTGTCCCCATAAATAACCTTTTCAAACCCATCAAGACCCATCACCCATGTTGCATGAACCATGGATAACCTTCAATAGGGCCTCAGCAGATTTCAACATTGTTGTGGCTTCGCAGTATCCAACCAATTCGGATTCCGCTGTGCTCATGGTGTGAAATGCCTGCCGAGTTGCCTCCCACTGAATTGGAGATCCTGCAGCACACAGAATGATGCCCTGGTGACTGCGGTCACCTTGAGGAGCGAAGCTGATATCGGCGAAGGCCTCAATGAGCTTCTCATGCCTTGGTACCTGAAGTGTGCCATGTGCACCGTGGTCCTTGTTGCAAGGGCGGTACAGGAGGCAAGTTTCTGGGGTGTTACACAAAAACCCTAGCACGTGTTGTCCCAACTGTTGGACCCACCTTGGTTTTCTAGTAACATTCCTTCCCATGACACTTACAGCATAGGCTATGTCAGGCCTACTTCTCACAGAAAGCCAAAGCAGTTCACCTGTGATTGCTTGGGCTGCACGGACATCAGGTGTTGTGATATCCGTTTCATCCGTTTCTGAACTGTCCAGTTTTGGCATGGGGCATGACTTTGGGGAAACATGTTCATGACGTTTCAACAACTCAGCAGTGTAAGACTTTTGTCCTACCATCAGACTCACCCCATCATCATGTCTTTTCAACTCAAAACCACAAAACCGGATCCATTCATTTTTGTCAACAGTTTCAACATCGGAACATTTCCATTCCTGTTTCAACCGGTCAAAAAAGGAGTTTCGAACATTGTCATTTGCAAGAGCCATGATGTCGTCCACATAAACAATAACATGACCTTCACATGTTGGTTCGGCATCCCCATGACCATGTTTCATGATTTTCCACAAGTTCCCTTCTTCAGTTCTTTTGAGGGAAAAGTCACAACCATCCATCTTCCATGCGAACCCACTCATGACCTGATCCCTGTGCACGGCCCAATGTGCCGGGCTTGACGTGAACCCATATAAAGCATTATGAACTCTCCACCGTTCAGAAGGGCTGCAAACTTTGGCTTCCACAAGTATTTTTGGGGGCACAACAATCACTTCCCGGGCATCTTGAGGTTTCGGCCGAGGAGCAAGGAGAAATGCTGTGCGAATGTCGGTAATGCCAGCGCCCCATCCCATCTGTACGGAGTGAGCCAGTGTAGCTCGGATCAGAATGCCATCGGCGCCAGAAGCGTAGAGATTGCCCGGAGCTGGATCCAAGTCACTTTGCAGCAGGTTTCCACAAACTACTGCTCTACATTTCTTTTTACCACCATTTGGACCCGCTTTTCGAACAGTCACAAGTTTTCCAGGGACAAACTCAACCGCTTCTTGGTTCAACATGGAAAGGTCAACAGGTTCAATGGCCTTAGTTTCATGGACCAAACTGTTGTATTCTTTCATCATCGCATCTTTCCATTCCCCAAGTTCATTTCGGACTTCATTCAAAGGGATTGTGGTTGTTTGCAAGACCTCCCCCGGATTCACGGCCATGACATCATCAGTTTGAAGGCCACACATTTTAATAACCCGTTTATTTTGGGCATCACGGACCAGGAACAAGTCATTTTCCAACCGTTCTTTTTCCCCTTGAAGCCATTGGATATCAGCCCCACAAATTTCCCCAAGAGATTTCGTAGTGGGAACAACATCCAACAGGTCTTGTAATGAACTGGAAATGGTTTGGTGTTTCCAACCCAAACATTTTTCCAAACAATCCAAAGATTCCAACTTGGCAACAACCCTTGATTTCGATCCCAAACCAAAATTTTCAGGGTTTTTTGGGTGGCTATCTCCCCCGGACCCAGCTTCAACATTCAACCCCTTAACAAACCGTGGTGCCTCCCTAAGGTTTTCTTGGTCGATTTCATCAAAGATCCCCAACATTTCATCCCCATTATCCCCATGTTCACCATCAACCTCAAGAACAACTTCATTTTGGGGTTCATTTTCAGGGATTTTTTCAAGGTGAGAATCCAAAACCAAAGAGGACTCCCCCCCGCGATCCAATCGCGGCAGTGGCGGCAGTTTCATGGGTGCTGGTCCTGGAGGTGGCTGCTTATGCCAAAGACGCAAGTGAGGTTTGCCCGGCCGCAGGTCTTCTTCGAGTTGCAGTTGGGCTTGATCGCCCAGTGGATCTGGCAGTATGGCCTCACGAGCATGCAAAACATGTTGGTCCTTAGTCGTTCGGACAAGCCAACCTGAAGTCATGTCAGGGCTTGGACACAACAAACGTGTTTCAACAAAAGGTTGAGCCAACAAATTCCCTTTGTCATGCCACCTTTTTCTTTTGACCAAAACCAGGGAATTGTACGGCAACATTTTTTGAACAGGGGAACCAAGGAGCTCCATCTGTTGCCTTAGTCGTTCCTCAGTGGCAAATCGCATGGCCTGTGGCCAATGGGTGTTGTCCTGACCTGCCATGTGAAGCAACAGCCTGGTACGCCTTTTGAGTTGGTTCACCTCGGCCTCACAATGGCCGTTACTTTGGGGGTCATCACCAGCTGTGAAC